ATAAATGTAGTAAGTTTTCATATTATTCGATTTTGCTTCTCGTAAGAGATTTCAATTTCTGTATATCCCTGAATTCACTGAGCCAATCAGAATTTCTTGTCGAAATGCAGATGAAATTCTATATATGGTCATTTTCTCTGATGTCATTGCATATTTAATCGGCACACATTTAGCACTGTGGTTGAGAAAAGATCAGCTGTAGGTTTGAAATGATTTATGACCTGGGCTCTCACAGGTAACAGTTGTGGGGGCAGGGCTGCTAAATTGTATTTTATCTATATAGGCAGAGGGTAGTTTATGACTAAAATGTGCAAGGGTAATAAGTTACCTATTGAAGAGCTGGTAGCTATCCATCAGAGCAAAATCCAAGAATTAATTCTCCTGTAAACATCATCATTATCAGGCAGGCTTGTGATTGACCAGACATTAATGCCACTACAATATCTATTAGAAGTCATAAACAAGGGCCAGGCCCTGATACACTGCTTATCTCAAACAGTATTTTATAGAGCAATTTCAGGTTTTATAGATGATGATGGAATTGGGGATGTGCTGTAGTCTTGCTTCAGTTCCTTGTGTAGATGGGTGATGTATTGTAGTCTTGCCTCAGATCCTAGTGTAGATGGGTGATGTACTGTAGTCTTGCCTCATATCTTGTGTAGACTCCCCTCCCCAAACAAACATTGATAACATATAAGACCTTGATAACATCCAAGACCTTGATTACATAAGACATTGGTAACATACAAGACCTTGATAACATCCAAGACCTTGATAGCATAAAAGACATTGGTAACATCCAAGACCTTGATAACATCCAAGACCTTGATAACATAAAAGACATTGGTAACATACAAGACCTTGATAACATCCAAGACCTTGATAGCATAAAAGACATTGGTAACATCCAAGACCTTGATAACATAAAAGACATTGGTAACATACAAGACCTTGATAACATCCAAGACCTTGATAACATAAAATACATTGGTAACATCCAAGACCTTGATAACATCCAAGACCTTGATAGCATAAAAGACATTGGTAACATCCAAGACCTTGATAACATAAAAGACATTGGTAACATACAAGACCTTGATAACATCCAAGACCTTGATAACATAAAATACATTGGTAACATACAAGACCTTGATAACATCCAAGACCTTGATAGCATAAAAGACATTGGTAACATACAAGACCTTGATAACATAAAAGACATTGGTAATATACAAGACTTTAATAACATCCAAGACCTTGATAGCATAAAAGACATTGATAACATCCAAGACCTTGATAACATAAAAGACATTGGGAACATACAAGACTTTAATAACATCCAAGACCTTGATAACATAAAAGACATTGGGAACATACAAGACTTTAATAACATCCAAGACCTTGATAACATAAAAGTCATTGGTAACATACAAGACCTTGCTAACATAAGACCTTGTAAAATGTTTGAAACAAGGGGTACAAAAGCTTAGCAAAAGTAGCCTTAAAAATTTGAGATCTTATCAATCATTCTACATTTCTGGGGTATTTTATCACATATCTTACACTAAGAGACCACTCCCCAACTCCAGCATATTGTGTAATGAAAAAACTGTTTACGATTCTAATCCAAGAGACTCCAACCTTAATGCAATTGCAAGCAAGTGATAAAGAAGAACAGAGGAGGGAATGTATTGTACCACACAAGTGCACTGGTATTTTCATGTTTACTATCATCGATAAAAATGGTTCAAATACTTCAATGTTAAATTCCTTTAAACAATAGAAATAAACCTTTTTCCTTTACCTGTCTCATTAGCATCAACTCACGCAGTTCAGGCATGCTGGGGCGTTGGAGGGAAAAATCCCTTTTTGCGCTAATTGTTTCGTTATATGACATTGTTGTTGTACAATCCTCTAATGCTACCACAGCCTATTCCAAGTTATCAGAGGTCCTAATTATTTAATTGTTTTATATTATGTAAAATTTGAGTTTAAATATCTTCTAATCTTTAAACAGACTTCTTGTTGCTCTCTTTTTTCTTGTTTTCTTTTCTTTTTGTTTTCTTTTTTAGTATTCCACTTGGCACTCTTTTAGACTACTCCCCTAACAGCTTGGATGGCTATATTTGTAATTTGTAAAATTCTTGCCAGCCAGTTCCACTTTGTAGTTATGTCACTATTGCTCATCAACTTCCAACTTGCATATTTCACCCCATACAACCTCTATGTACCGGAATACACCTAGTCACACAGTGATATGCATGAATTGAGTTATCTATTTTCCTGCTATTTTCCTGCTTTTGGGCTGAATCATCTTACCATGTATCCGTGATAACTTTAACTGCAGAGTAAGTGTTTTAAGATATACAATCTGTGGTGTATTCTATATCAAAACCTAAACACTCATCACAACAAACTACAAATTATAAACGAGAATAAAAGTTGGTGACAATCCAATAGCAATATATTCAACAAGGCATCAACATGCAAAATGATACCACCTGTTATTTGTTTCAGCCGCTGAATGCAAACCACCAAATACTGAACACCAACCACTGAATGCCAAAAAAAAGTTGGAGACTGTAACAAATTGCCACCACCACAAAAAATATACAACTACAGAAATGTTGTTCCTCACACATAAGAGACATATAAGAGAAGTTTGTCAGTCGGGGTCTTCTTTCTGATCTTCTAAAGAAATGCTGTACATGAATAGGCGATCGGATAATTTTCAAAGCATTGCATTTTTTAGATAGAAGGCACCTTATTTAAGGAGAATGTTGATCGTACAAAGTATCAGTCAAATTCAGATGAAAATAAAGAAACAGATCATCAATAAAATGCCAATAAAGTACAACCAAGTCTGTATATATTTGACTTTACAGTATTTTCTATCAATTAAGGAGGCACTATAGTCTACTAGTCGTATAATCCTGGTATAATCTTACTTGTAGAACTAGATAGTAATACATAACACTAAAGCTACCTTAATGAACATGATTTATGACATTTTGAATGCTTAATGTAGGCCTTGTCTATCATCCAATTTTCAGCAAAGAATCTTTCCATGTTTTTAACAAACATGATTCTTGCCTTTTAAATGAGAATCTCGACTTGAATCAGATCAAATCAAATTAAATATTTAACCACAGAACATAAAATACTTTCAATTTAATATTTATTTCACTTGCTCACACTTGATATTTTAATTTTAATTTATTTTAATCATTTTTCACACATAGCTAAGTAAGGTGATTCCAGATTTCAGCCAATCAGAACACAGTATTTCATCTAACTGCAGTGCATTATATCATCAATCGCAGTATCCAAGGCCGTTTGTTAAAATGTTGTCAAAGAGACAACTTGACTCTCCAGATTGAAATTGATACTTTGTCAACTTGACCCTTGCAAAAAGTTTCATCGAAAATGAAATGGAATGATTCATTGATTCAGCACACAACATGCACAATGCACTGAGTCCAGGGCTTAAATCCTTAAACATGGTCATCCTATACATGGTTATTATACACATGTTATGCATAAAAAAGAATGACACAACCAGCCATCTAACAATTAGTGTTATCATCAAACCTTATTGTTATTTATTAATTCTGTGACAGCCTCATAATATTTAATGATATATCATAGACTATACTTTATAGTCCCAAATAAACAGGGTGAAAATGAAGAAATGAAACCCTTTAATTTTTGAATAACTTTTTCAACTATGTTAATTTCTTCTTTAATTTTCTTGTGTAGTTGTAGTTTCTTGAGTCACTTGTATCTTGATGAAGCATGTAGATTCTCAACTTACCAATAATTGCTATGATCACACGACTTTGCCCATGTGTCAAGTTTCCATTCTTTTAAGTCACATGAATTTATCTGAGAATATAATATAACGTGATACTAATAATAAGATACATGTTCTATATATTTAGTCAGAACTTATAAAGGTTTCTTTAAGTTGCATGTAGGTCTGCCCGAGTCCTCAGAATTTTTCACACCACATTTAACATTTCTAAAGCTCCTATACCTTATACTTTTGGAGATTAAGCATGAATCTAATAACAAAAAATGTAACAAGATACAGATTGCATAAGAAAATATGTTTCATTCCTATATGATTATGGTGAATTTGTTTTCTATTTACTCAATGCATCTATTTTAAGCCTCTTTAAGTACAGCAAAGCCAGTCTCATCTGAATGCCAGTAGGATTGGCCAAAAATGTTCCGATTGGCAGGTGTTCACATTTCAAGAATTTTTAACATGGAAGTCTATGGCAGATTAAAATTAGGACAGGAACAGTATTGAATTGAGGGATGTTAGGATGAGAGAGTTGAGTTTGGATATATAGTAGTTAGTACTACTGTAGTTATATAGCAAGAGGCCCACTAATAACCTTTAAGATAAAGTGCACATATTTGTGTATTTAAATGAACTAATTATTGTTTTCTATTAAATCAAGTAAAAAACTGGTGTCTTCTCATCTTTTACCTAAAGTTAAAGAAAACACATTTTGATCATTATTGAGGTACATCCTCTGACCTGCCATTCAAGGTGAATTTGAACTACAATCCAACTTCACAAAAATTGATGCCAAAATCAGTTCACATTTGACATGCTCTCAAAACTATGTCACATACACAATTTCATTTTTCCCCATTTCAAGTAATAGCCTGGAAATCAGTTATTCATTAAGACTTGAGCCTAAAGAGTTATGGTGTGCTCATTGTTAAGTTAGTCAACATTTGAGCAGCTTGAATATCCTTATCCGTTGACAGGGTTCTTTAGAGGTGTCCAAAATCTGGTTATATGCAATAAAATTTGAACTAAGGTGTTCAAACTGTGGGCCAAGGTGTTCAGATTTGGACCAAGGTGTCCACAATTTGAAGAAAGGTGTTGACAGGCCTGCAATGTGCACCTATTAATATACATACTTGTATTGTATTATATAAAGTCATTCTAAACAAATGCAGCCAACCAGGAAGCTACATACCTGTCTCAGCTTTTGAAGACTGTTTCCGATCTTGAAAGGTTGCACAGGGAAGTCTGGGTAGCCAGGTGCTTTGGTGACCTCCTTTGTTTCTGGTAGACTTTCCAGAGAATCTTTTTTACTTTCTGAACCACTGCCATATTCCTGAAAATAAGATAGTTATATTTTCTTATATCAAAAATATTTCAAAAATCACCCGACAAAATAAAATTCATTTAGCAACAATATCACATGCAGGCGATGGAACAGATATTAGAGTTTTCCTGTAAAAAATCCCCTCTTTCTGTGGGTATATCAACTTTTTCCTTTGTAGACAGAGAGTGTAGGGGGGGGGGGATTTTCTTAAAATTGGGGCAACTCTACTATCTGTTCCAGTGATTCATTCCTCAGCTTTTAATGTAAGACTGTACTTAAGGTCTGCTAGTGTTTAACAATATAGCACCACAGATAATAGGGACAGATATATCAATCCACTCTGAATCTGCATTCATCACCATGATGATGATGGAGATGAAACAAACTGATAGATCACTCTAATAGTTTATGCAAAGACAAACTAATTTTCTGGGTTAATTCCTATAAATGTGCACAGTAAACTGTCTCCTTTCAGAGGTATGTTGTCTTGTGTAAGAATATATTCAAGAATGTCTACTACTTGAGAGACATCTTTTTAACTGTTTCAAAACTGTCCTCTCTAAAATGGAATTTTAATGGGATGAACTTCTGTGAAAACTTTTAATGTGAAAACTCTCAGCTGCGTTTATTTCAAGCAGGTATAACTGAAATCATCTTCAAAAAAGTTAACTTTATGGAACATGAAAAAGATCATAGAGTACTGTTAGCATGTTATGATGCTCTTTGTCAATAAAGCGATATATCAACTAAAGAATTTATTGGCATTCTGCATGGTATGAGGCTTTCGTGATAGGGTACATACTACATAGTGGGATCCCCAGCCTGTACTATCTCTCAAGTAAGGCCCTTTCAAGCATTAGACAACGCATTAACATGCAAAATGTCCACCTTGTAAGTTATTGCAATTGTTGAAGCCAAACTCTGAATACAGACCACCAACAACCGAACACCATCACAAAAAGTAGGAGATCATAACAATATGTCATCAATTTTGGTGGTGACATAAAAATCAACATATAAATAAATCAGAATTGATAATCAATATATAATATAATATGTGAGGCAATTTAAAGCAGGCCATTCTTCACTTCTTAAAAGAGAGCTTCGTCTTCACTCTTTCAAACTAAAATAAACCTGTGAACTCACCGCGCCAATCAGTGTTCGTCGGCCAAATTTGACCGACGTTCTATATATGGTCATTCCTTCTGACGTCATCTTTGAGCCCGGAATTGACCAATGACATGCGCATATTTAATTAGAATGTATTTGGCGTATGTTTCTTCAAGCTCGCTGATTGGTGGAAGAAAGGTCAGTGCGTAGGTCAAAAGTGATTTATTACCCGAACTGTCACCGGCACCTGTCGTGGGGGTGGGGCTACTAAACTGAAATATGGTCTCTACTAGGCAGAGTGTAGTTTAACTAGACTCTGCACGCAGGGTAGCCATTATTTAACACTTCATAATGTTAGAACTGAAACTATAATGCAAGACTGGCTCCTAAATAGACTTAATTTTGCTTCATTATATCGTACAAGGTAAAAATAATTGCATGGTGTAGGATATTACTTATACAGTGCCCTGGTACATTAAGACCCAGGAAATATCCCCGGGGAAGATAAATGATAGTTGTACAATTTTAAAAATGGTTTTGGTCAGGAAAAATAATAATCATATTTATTTACCTACTCATATCATATTTGTTATAATTTACTGTTCAATGACAATTTAAAACATTATCTATTAATCATATTCAATTACCTTTGTATTTGTTTGACTGGCTTCTTAAAAGATAGCTTCGTCTACAATCAATGTTATTTTAAACGAAACTCTGCACTCAAGGTGATATTACATTCAATGTGCAGTTACATAACATGGCAGAAAAAACAACTGTGTGTTATCTCTTCAAAAGTGTTATAGTCCATTAGTAGTCTATAAATAATTAATCAATTTGGCCAAAATTCTTAGTTATCAAATTATGTTACATCCTTTGCCAGAACTTGATTACACTCTTCAGGTTAAAGATAATTTCGGATCAAACATATTAAATCTGATGATGTATACAGAAAATGATGGCACAATGACTTCTGCCTTTTAAGTACCCAATATTCATTTCACTATCGTATACTCACATAAAAGGCATAAACGGCACATTTGAGATCATTAAGATATTCACAATATCAAAACTATGAAATTCCCTCTCATAGTCAGAGGATGGTGATTTCACCAATTGGGAATTCAGGGTTTCTTCTTTACTTACATTGTGGTCAAAGCAATCATCATCCTGGTCTTGAAATTCCTCATGTTCTATAGGGCTTTCCTGGGAGCTCCAGCTAAGTAGGGATCTACGAGGTCGAGGGGCCAAGGATAAGCGCCTCGCTGTGCTATATACAGGCTGGGAGCTCCCTGTTGGGGTATGTGGCTGGGCACGGTTCATTTCGATTAGGTGGCTGCGTTTATACCACAGTATAAGATATATGTTTAATCCTTTAATGCAGTTCTTTCCTACAGCATTTTATTCAATCTCTGTATGTTATCCAACCAATAGTCAAAGTTGATTTGCTATGTTGAAATCAGCAATGCTCCTTATTTTTGCGAATTTTATAACTTCATTAACTCCTTTACTCAGTCCATATGTGTTATCCTTTAAAATTCCAAATATTCTTGCTTAAAATTCAGTAATTTCCACGTTGTTTACTTCTCCTTAATTCATTCTATATTTGTTGTCATTAAAGATTCCAAATATCAATGCTTAAAATTCAGCAGTTTTCATGAATTCCTAATTTTTTTGAACTGATTTTATTCAATCCATAAATGTTATCACAAATGTCATATATATATATATGAATATAATGACGACAATTCAGCAATACCCCTCAATTGCAATATACATGTATCTGTATCATAATTCTTTAATTAATTACAGTCTATTTACAATATTCATTTAGACTGTGCTTTATTATTTAGGTTACACAATGATCAATCACAGACTTCCATTTGAGACTGAATTTCCGATACAATGTCTGAAGGTAATCGGAATCATCTTAAGCTTATTGTATCACAAACTTTAGGTTGAATAACGGTGTATCATGATCAATCACACGCAACAATCTTATAGTGAGTCCTTCTCAAGACTTAGCTCTTATATCATCATAGGTTTAATTCACCTATCTGGAAAATTAAATTACTAAATGAAGAAATCTATTCCAAGATAGAATTAATTCAGAACTCTTCAATAATTTAATGAATGTTGATTTGCAATTGATTATGACGTTATTTTAACTAATTAAAAACTGATCACAATATAGCACCCAGGGTGCAATAAAAAGATAAATGGGGATATAATTCTTAAAAAAGTATCCTATTAACAATTATCTAGTAGCAAATCAAAAATTATACTCCATGAAAAAATGGACAAAAATGAGAGTAACAGGTTGGAAAATATTGAATCTGACCAATTAACTACCATGAAACTATAAACTTGTTTTTCATAGTAAGAGGGTATTAGAGGTTGTTCGCTGAGTAAGAGTAATTCTCACACAGTTTCTGGTCTAAATAAAATTGCAATATGAAGGATCACTGAAAAAAACAACATCTAAATGATCAATTCAACATGTTTCTCTATAAATCACTTTACCAAACCCAAATCCTACATGTGGGCCTGGTTATTCTTAATTTACCTGTAGCAATGTTTACATTATTTACAGTCAGTATTTTGGTATTTCTATATTATACAAGAATAGCAATGGGGCAAAATAAGGACAAAATATGATCAATCAAGGTGCCAAATATTTACCAAAAGATCATCTCCAAAATAATTTTCAATTAATGAATCGAAGAAATCAACAAGTAATGTTACTGCTTTAATACTCTAAATTTAACCATTCATGGCATGAGAATTCATTAATTAATCCTAGAATTAAACCAGTCAGGATTCCATTCCTTATTCACCAGAGCCAAGAATACAAACATATTACACAGGTTTAATTCCACAAAACCAGAAAGTCACATTTCTCAAACCAGAGATAATCCTTTGTTCTGTTCAATATCCCTTGAGCATTAAATTATTTCAGAAAATAAAACTAGTGCCTACCCTTTGCATTCGTTCGACTTCACTTCTTAAAAGAGAGCTCCGTCTTCACTCTTTCAAACTAAAATAAACCTGTGAACTCACCGCGCCAATCAATGCTCGTCGGCCAAATTTGACCGACGTTCTATATATGGTCATTCCTTCTGACGTCATCGTTAAGCCCGGAATTGACCAATGACAATTCAGAATTTATTTTGGCGCTTGTTTCTTCAAGCTCGCTGATTGGTGGAACAAAGGTCAGCGCGTAGGTCAGAAGTGATTTATTACCCGAACTGTCACTGGCACCTGTCGTGGGGGTGGGGCTACTAAACTGTAGTATGGTTTCTACTAGGCAGAGTGTAGTTTAACTAGACTCTGCACGCAGGGTAACTAGTGCCCGAAATTAAAAAAAAAACTCCCAAAAACACAATCAACAAATTAAAAAACACTCGAAAACTAGTCAACATAAGTGATAATACCCTGAATCTCAACAAAAAATATGAATCTTAAGGGCAGAATAGGACCAGCAACAGTTTAAAGTGATAATATCTTGAATTTCAACAAAATGATAATTTAAGGGCAGAATAGGACCCCAGCAACAATAAGTGATAATATTTTGAAATTCAACAAAATTATGGATTTCTAAGGGCAGAATGGGACCAGTAAGTAGACCCAAATGGCAATGGTTAACAGATTGTATATCTTGTATTATCTGTGGCACTTTCACCACATCCATACTTCAAACATACCTAGAAACCATGATGACTGAACAAAGATGTCAAGTTGCAGTGTTCTCCCTTTAACTCCTCTCAACTTAACATTTAGATTCCTTAACACATTGATTTTACTTCTTTATAAGTAGTGAGATTCAGGGCCCGCATACAGGTGGGGGGGGGTTGGGGTTAAAGAATTTTTTGAAAAGTGAACCACCCTTGGCAAAAGCTGGCTACGGCTTGCACTTTAAACATCTATTATGTACCAGCTTGGTAACTGTTATTCTGTAGGAATCACATACATTGTAAAGAGGTACCCCCTTTCCCCTTTTTTCCTAACCATCTGCACTGACCCAAGGCACAAGACCAGGTGTAATCAACAGAGCAATTAAAACAATTAAACAATATCCATATTCTGTTTTTAATTACCTTTTAAAATTGTTATTGAGAAAATGATTGAAAATCCAAAGCTTTTAGCTCCGAAAATGATCACAAAAGTTACTTACCGCAAGATCAAAACTTAAAATTGCAAATCAACATTCATTAAAAATTGATGACAAAATATTTAATGCAATACTTAGATGGTAATAGATCCTGAATCTGTAAATTTCCACTTGGTGTGTAAACTGGATCAAGTCTTTTTTACTCCAGTTGAATGTTACATCTACTCCTGATAACTCCTTAACTCCTTTTATATTGAAAATCTGTATTTTAAAGCGTAATGTATATCTTTACTGACACAGTATCTTCTAGTGATACTTTCATTCCCTTGTTTCTCTGATTCTTAAATTTCTGTGTGAAGTTATCCAAGTAGGTCGATCATGAATGGTATGAAATGATACCAACCCAAGTATGTCTATCACAATAAAAACATTTTACATACAACTAAATGAATATATGCATGTTGAAATCCATTTCCCCCAGGCCTGGTTTGTTCACTGTTAAATCTGTGAAAGACTCACACTTACACATTCAACTCCCAAAGGATTTAACTGTCAACACCTGCTGGTAGAATTCCACAGGGCTGCTTGACTCATTAGTGTGATCAGTTTTTCTGTTTATTTAATTCTCAAAACAAAAACATTGAAATGAAGATTTCCAACTCTAAAGGTCACCTAGGTGCATTATATTAACATTTCTTTGAAGTTTCTTCTTTGAGCCAACATTCTTCATCATAGCATTCACTTGTTAATGTTCTTCCCAGTTGAACTCTTAAACACATGTTTTCATTGTCTTGTTGTAAACAAGAGCAGACAGAAATAAATGTACATGTTTTGTTAAGCCCGTTGTATCCTTTCTTGGATTTTATTGGATTAGGAATTGTCACTAAGTCTCAGCATGAGGCCCACCCCTTGTAAGTACATGTTATACCTAGATTATTCCAAATCCTAAATTTGAACTTGTCAATGTTCAAACATATATGATCCTCATTCCTCATACCCTGATTTCTTCAGCTAGTAGCCTTGTATACTGCCCTCTGACTTAGATCAATGATTTTGGCAGTTTGGCACTCATCCAATCAGAGAATACTATTGGCCCTTGCTGATAAATTTACCCTTTTGAACACACAAAAACCTTGTCTAACCTATGGATGGTTCTGACTGGCTCGACTAGTTCATAAATCTATAGTTGTTGTAGAGGATGACACATTTGCAAACTCTTAAAAGGGTAACCCTCTCTTGACAAGAACAAAAAAGTGAAATTTGATTCTGCAGTTATCAAGACCCTTATTCTTCTGTGGTTTCCTTAAGAATCCTTCTTTTGGTTCTTGCAATGTTTGTGTTAAATATAATTTCATAGTTATGCACTTATCTCAAGCCCCACGCAAAAAAATTCTTAAATTCCTACATAATTTTTGACATTAATATAAAAAATAATAATGAATAACCCTATTGGGACAAATTTTAGACTAAAAGAAACACTACAAGACCTCTGAAGAGACAGATGTAATCTATCTGATAGAGTCCAATTAAAAATGATTAAAACATAAAAATGTGGCGAAATTCTATGTAAGGGATCTTCAAAGATAATCCACATATGAGATTTATCTCTATTGAAAATGTTATCTAGTGTGTGTTGTATAAGAGCTATAATACATCAATAGCAAATAACCTTATCCTAATTGTAAACATTACCCGGACAAAAAATGAAATTTCACCGTCAAGAAAATTAGTAAAATCAATCATAATTCATTACATTTCGAGTTAATTTCTGTTTCCGAGAAAATGTAATTTTTCGTAAACAATTCGTGTATGTTTGGGTAACATTTAACAGATGCATAGCTGTTGATTATAATTAACCAGTCATAAACATGCAATATGATGCAAGGATATAATCAACTATCAGACTTTATATGATAAACTCTAAATGATTGAGTTATCAAGAGGATATAATAGCCATTCCAACTCCTCTCTCCCCCACGAGTCTCCTGGAGAAAACTCCTCTGTGTATACACTAAATCACACAGGCCCGTAGCCAGGATTTGCCAAGGGGGGTTCACTTTTTGAAAAATTCCAGGGGGGTTCACTTGTGACAATTTTGGTCCAAAAATGGCCAAAATCACTTAAAAGGTGCTCAGAATGGTGAAAACTGCATGATTTTGAAATATTTTTTGGCCGGGGGGGGGGGGGGTTTCGCTTGAACCCATCGAACCCCCCCCCCCCCTCTTGGCTACAGGCCTATTTTCATGAAGGTTTGGAGGAGGTGGTTTGATTTTGATTCTTTAAAAGAGAGCTTCATCTACATTCTCGGAGTTAGATAATCCTTCGATCTCACGTTACAGGACTGTAGCCCCCCCTCTCCCCCTGGCCAAAAAATGTTCAAAATCATCCAGTTTTCCACCATTCTGAGCACTTTTTAAGTGATTTGGTCATTTTTGGACCAAAATTGTCACAAGTGAACCCCCCTGGAATTTTTCAAAAAGTGACCTCTCCTTGGCAAATCCTGGCTAAGGGCCTGCCTTAATTAATCAGAATATAGTTGATGAAAATTAGCTTCCCAATCGAACAAGCAATCATGCCTAATATAATACACTGCATAGGCTTTGACACTCAAGAGTATTAGGCAGAGTGTAGTGTAACAAAGAACTGGCATAGATCTGGAAAGGCCCTTAACATTTTGTATGGAAAAGAGTTGATCTGATAGAAATTTTCCCATAATCGGTTAAATTGCTTGAAATACTATGCAGTACGACAACACAAAGTTTTATGATTGTTTCAATAAAAAGTAAAACAAATGTACTCGTATATTCTGTGTTTTACATAATACCTCATCTCCATTTCAAAAGCAGCAGGACTGAAGTGGATGCCAACAGGCTTGTCTATACTTCATAAAAAGTTGTAAAAAAATCTTTAGGGCCAAGAATTTATATAAGTTGAGTCTTTTTGTGAAATTGGTACTTATTACTGCCAGATTCATGCCATTAAAGTTAAGAACATTTTTGAACTCTGGTTCAAGATCTCACCTCAAAAGCAGCAATGTTACCTAGTAATGAAAATACAGTGAAACGTGTAAGGTGGAACACTCTAGAAGTGGAACACCTCTAAAAGTGGAACACTTCTAGAAGTGGAACACCTCTGTTAGTGGAACCCAAGACCAACAGACTTAATGTTAAATGAACCTCTGTAAGTGGAACACCTCCCGAGTAGAACACCTTTTAGAGGTACCAAAGGTGTTCTACTTAAACAGGTTTTACTGTATGTCCCTTCTATGTGCCCCACCCAAACCGTGTAATTAAAGATTTTACAGTTTTTTGATGACTTCAATTTCAAGTCAAATGAGATTTTTATCCTCAAGTCATGAGCACTTTGCACTCAATGACCTTAGTGTTTTGATTTGGTGACTTTGAGTCACATTCAATGAACTTTTTTTCTTTTGACATGAATATCTTTGCTGATTTGAACTTTAAACATTGTAATATTATTATTTGAAGCGAAATTCAATTTCAGTTCTTTTCTCCCAGTGCACACTCTGTAATCAAAACCTGTTAAAACTTACATGAATTCAATTTTACTATTATATTTGAAAAGTTTTCAATGTACTTTTACAAGCTAATTAAAGTGTAATAATCATAGCTTTGAGATAATTATTTTGCATTGTTTATAACGAGACCATTGTATATAAGAACACGAACAAGAAGTTATTGAAGATGCATCTATTGTATATAAGAACACAAACAAGAAGTTATTGAAGATGCATCTATTGTATATAAGAACACAAACAAGTACATGTAGGTTATTGAAGATGCATCTGTTGGGTTTTGGGTTATATTTGAATATTTCCTAAGATTAAGTAAATCTTACCCTGAATTTTATCATTTCACCACTTTTCCCTCTCACTAACACTGATGAATTAACAATTTGATGCAGATAAGATCGATGAGCACACCAGATAGGCTTTTTGACAGAATGCAAAATGAATGTCATTGGCACAAAAATGTAATGTTTTAGCTTTTGAATACTTGTACTGATTGAATGTGAGCTAAATCAAAGAAAAGCTCTAATTTGAAGAGGTTAAAACACAATCAAGTTCTTGTGAAGGGTAACAAAACCATTCCCACCAATCTGGGCAGACTCAAACTAGTGTTGAAACTGCATAATAGAGGTCATGTTAGTATAGCGGCCTAGCACTGACTAGTTGCTAGTTTGAGGGGAACATCCTCTTTATCGCTACCTTTCACATTTATTTGATGTAGCTTCCTAAAAAATTTGTCAACACTCTTTTAGTTTATGAGAAACCCTTGAACTTGTCAAGCTTGTCGTTCCTAGAAGAATGATTTTCTATTATGGTCTTATCCCCTGGTCATTGTTTACCCAAAATTGAGCAACATTATACATTACTGAAATGTGTTTCTTTCTGCTCACTGATTGGTTGAGACAATGTCAGTATGGATGGTTTGAGTTGATTTATGACCTGGGCGGGCTGTGACAATCGCTGGTAGTGGGGGTGGGATGGTCCAACTGTAAAATTGCATTAACCAATCAGAGGTTACTTTAGAACTAACCTTGGCGACACTAAGGGTACTTTATCACATGCTTGTGAAAACTTTCTTGAAGAGATAGTAGTACAGGACAATAGGCTGCACATTAGACAATGGGTTCTAGCCATTCTGATCATTGTTCCCCCCACCTAACAGTTAATATTTTTGCATTTTTAAGTTTAGTTAGTGTTTTGTAGTTTAGATATGTAGTTTACCATAGTTCTGACTAATGTAATCATGTTATGATACTATATGTCAATAAAAGTTATAATAAAATACTGAGAAGTAGTGAAATAGGTAAATGCTATTTTTTCACTTAATTACTCTGGAATGAATACCTTAGAAACTCATTTTTATCACAGGTAATACAAGGTATTAACTTGCAAAATGTCACCACTTGCCATCTGTTACAGAAACTGAGCCTCGAATGGCAATCACCAAACACCAACTGTCGAACACCATCCACAAAAAGTTGGAGACTATAAGAATATGTCAGCTTTCTTATTATCTAATCTAGAAATGGATTTCAAAAGAACCCTTTATAAAAAACACCAAAGATTCTGATTCTGAATTTCACTGATTATATTTCACAATGGTTTTGAGAAATATGCTCTAGTTTTACAGACCCTATTAAAAAACAAAAATCAACAAGGCATTAACATGACAAAATATAGTTGCTCACAATATTATGAGTTCAATCTTAAGTCAGATTTGAACTTCTGATAACATGTATGGATGATTTTGAAAAAATTGAAATCTGTCTAAACAGTATTTGTTAAGTTATTGGAAGTTGTACGAATTTGTAACAGACGCCGATCGCCAACCACGAACCACTAACCGCAAACCAACAACCGCCGTCAAAAAAACGGAGACCATAACAATGTCACCACTTTTTGGTGGTGACATAATAAACAGAATTGCAGTCACTTACCTCTTCCAGTATGCTGCTTTGTGATGCCAGAGGGAAAGATGCATGGCGGGTGATCTTCCCTAGTGGTTTCACTGGCTCCTTTACTGGTGTGCCTGCAACATCAGGATGTTTGGCAGTGGCATTGTTGGTACTGGTGTCTTCCTCTGGAATTGACTTTATCACTGAGGGTCCATAAGTCAGTTCTGGAAATATACAAATATTATCATTTTCAATGGTTTAATTCATATTCATGAAAATGTTTCATTTTGCAATGATGTTATCTTAGATACATCCTTCATTCAACTCTGGAGCTAACAAAGAGAGATGGATCTTGAATCGTTTCAGTCTAGTATGGATATCTCTACATATAGACTTGGCACACTTGCATAATTAGCCCAAATCAAATTAAACACCTTCTATATGACAAGAATTTTCTCAATACATTCTGTCAAAAATATGGCTAGAATCAACAGCTAATATTTGTTGATTTTGATCAATAGAGAGCTATCCACAATGTTTCAAGTGAAACAGTTATTGAGCTCAATGATTTGACACTATAGGATAAAGGAAAACAGATGAGAACACATTCCAGGTACAGTTAAATGTGAATATAATTGTTTGTTCAATCTCAGACAAAGGCACCACCTTTGAGGCTTAACCCTTCAATAGATTCATTTTGCCTCTTCAAAAGAAAGCTTCATCTGCAGTAACAGATCAGTGTTCTTCCCGGAATTTCTCAAGTAGGTGCAAAATTCTCATTTTCACAATTCAGACCGAAATTGATCAAAATATGTCCATTTTTCATGATTTTTCTCATTTTCATTTTCTCATTTTCAAACACCAAATACTGGGAATTCTGTCCATCAAAATCTAGCTATTCAAATTCAAATCATTCACTGAACATTATGTACTTGGCATTCATTTCATAATGAAACTCCCATTTGAGGCCATGGTAGCTACTTTAGGGGTTATTCAGATCTTATAAGCATCAAAACTGCCAAGGGGGGGTTACTTCGTAAAATATTCCAGAGGGGTCACATCCGACACCCATATTGCTTTATAGATTCATAAGTACCTGCATTCATTTCATCATGAAACTCTCAAAAAGGCCATGACAGCTACTTTTGGGGTGATTCAGATTTTATAAGAATCAAAATTGCCTAGGGGGGAGGGGGGTACTTTGCAAAATATCCTGGGGAGTCACATCTGACACCCACAGAACTTTATGCTTTCATAAATATCTGGCATTCATTTAATCATGAAACTCTCAAAAAGGCCATGGCAACTACTTAGGGGGTCATTCAGATCTCATAAGCATCAAAACTGCCAAGGGGGGGGGGGGTTACTTTGCAAAAGATTCCAGGGGGGGTCACATCTGACACACACTGAACTTTATGCTTTAACAAATACCTGGCATCCATTTCATCATGAAACTCTCCAAAAGGCAATGGCAGCTACTTTGGGGGTCATTTAGATCTTATAAGCATTAAACTATATTTATTCTATTATTCAGACCCTTATGCTCGGACGACTCAGAGTACAGTAAAACCTGTCTTTATTGAACATTTTTTGACAAGAAAAACATTCAGTGTTGGAAGGTGTTCACTAGAGAGAGGGGTATTCATGGGCATAGCCAAGGGGTGTGATTGCACCCCCCTATACCCACAAAAATTAGAAAATAAAAAGCAATTTTGTAAAATTTGTTGAAAAACCAAATTCAATCGCAGTGATGCAAACCCCCAAAATAGTACCCCCTTGACTTTTGCTGGCTGCACCCTTGTTAGTTATACAGAAGTCAGTAGAGTATGTGCGGGGAAAGGATGTCTACTAAAAAAAACTAAGAGACAGGAGTTCCCTAAAGAGAGGTGTTCACTAAGCTTGTATTAGTGAATGCAACTAACAGCTACAGGGCTGTCAACTTGGGACCACCTAGTACAAATGTTGGACACCTAAGTCCAAATCTGAACACTTTTGTCCAAATTTTGAACACCTTTGGCCAACTTTTAAACACCTTTGGCCAAAGTTTGAGCACCTTTGCCAAACTTTGATCACCTCAAATTTTCCGAGCAAATTGCGTTCGGTTTTTTTTCCGACATTCGTATATTTACCGTATCGTAAACATATTTTGAAAAATTTTCTATAGAAATATTTTTGCTTGACAATTACCAGGTAAAATGCGTATTTGCCACGCGGTAGTATCTCTTCGGGACGTATCGAAACCACTCCGTCCCGAAAAACCGTTAATTTGAATTTAAAACCTCCAGTGTTTGAAAATCAAGGATTGTGGGTCTCACACTTCACCGTTTTTCTTCAAACTTGTTCCGTACAAAGCTTCACAGAAATACCTTTCAGTCGATACATTGTTTTTGTGTACAAAGTACCTCGTTTTAGCGGCGTTTTGGTCCCCAGCTGTGAGATAAAGCAAATTTTCATAACTTTCAACTGTAAGTCAAGTTATCTCGCCAGTCTTTTACCCATTCTCGCCCATAATTTCAGAATGGACTCCCATTACAACCTTCCATCGCTACGTCTTGATTTTTGGGCATCAAACGCAGCAGTTTCTAAATCATCCACACATCTCTTCAAATTTGACCAATACGTCCCGTCATCTTCCACTACGCCCCGCCGAGTCTATCACTATACACGTAGAGTTGCATTCTAAAACAATTTGTCCATCGATGTGTCCGTTTGTAGGTTGCCATTGTCGATTCTAAATACCAATCGGATTGTGTTTTAAGATTTACCCATTCTTGTCCATTTTCAATATACCTATAATAGGGTGGTCCAAAATCGGCGGGGCGTAGTGGAAGGTGACGGGATGTATTAGTCAAATTTTAAGAGATGTGTGGATGATTTAGAAACCGCTGCGTTTGATGCCCAAAAATCAAAACGTAGCGATGGAAGGTTGTAATGGGAGTCCATTCTGAAATTATGAGCGAGAATGGGTAAAAGACTGGCGAGATAACTTGACTTACAGTTGAAAGTTATGAAAATTTGCTTTATCTCGCAGCTGGGGACCAAAACGCCGCTAAAACGAGGTACTTTGTACATGAAAACAATGTATCGACTGAAAGGTATTTCTGTAAAGCTTTGTACGGAACAAGTTTGAAGAAAAACTGTGAAGTGTGAGACTCACAATCCTTGATTTTCAAACACTGGGGTAGGTTTTAAATTCAAATTAACGGTTTTTCGGGACGGAGTGGTTTCGATACGTCCCGAAGAGATACTACCGCGTGTTTGCGTGACATTTTCTGTCACTCAAAAAAAAACTGGCGTGACTTCAAATTCTTTAGCAAATGCGTGACAAATACGCAAATTGCGGGACAGTTGACAGGCCTGCAGCTAGCGGCTACCAGATTAACCTACTATTTTATACTCATTAAAACATGAACGGAATAGTGGCGGGTACTATTCATATCTAAATGAGTTCCCATAAAATAGTAGGTTAATGTGATAGCCAACAGGCGTTAGTTGCATTCGCTAATACTATCTTTGACAGGTTTTACTGTATTTTACACCTTGAGACTCAACTCAAGAGGAATAACTCATTAGTGCATGATAAAACAAGTACAGTGGTAGAAAGATGAAAGTGTTTTACACCAACATACAGTTCATCAGTAAGAGCCTACTTATTAGAAGGATCTTTGCAGGGAAGCCAGCAGGTGTCAAGGGGGGTGTGTGATTTTTTGGGTTTGCATGCTGAACTTCCTTAAACAATCATACCTGGTGATGAAACTGTTCTATCTGGTAGTTCATGAAGTTTGGGAAGGCGTGACTGAGAGGCCATAGTGGCATGTTGCGTTGGTTCTATGGGGTCTTCACTAATCAGCTCTAGTACGGTTCCAGTCTGGAATAATAGAATTGTATAATTGTATACAAATGAGGTCTATCTTTTATATGGGGGAAACAAGGCATCAACATGCAAAATGTCACCACCTGTCATTTGTTAAACATGCCAAATGCCAAACACTGTCCACAAAAAAGTTGGAGATCATAACATTCACCACTTTGTGGTACCACTTGTCATAAAAATGAAAAAGAACAAAAATGAAACTAACAAGATATGCTATGCATGGACTTGGACTGAAATGGGAAGGGGTACAAAAATATAATATTGAAAATCCTCTCATTAAATTTTGGCTTTATTTTGTAAAAAAATCTATGGTCCATTTCTCCATGTAGGGTCCCCTGTAGTTAAACTGAATGCATAAGACCTATTTCTTTAAAAATAGTGCATGGCAAAAAGTACATGGCCAAGAATAGCCCTTTACATGTATTTTAAAAATATTGCCCAAATAATGACCCGGACAAACTGTACATAATCATGTGGTCTTACATAACAGAACATGTTTTTTTTAACAGTTATAATTACCGTATCTAGTTTTAGGCATTTCAAAATTATCTTATTGCTTGTTCAGATAGACAAGAGTGTACTGTTTATTTCTACCTATTACTGTATTAGTAATTTATATGTGTACATTTTATTGCTTTCAAAATACCGGTAGACTTTCAAAAGGGTAGAGAGAATGAACTGAGAAAATGTTAACAGGCAATCTAAATGTTAAAACCAAAACACTTTGTAGGCTATAGAATATTCTGAGCCTCTCTTACAAGAAATATACCATACAGTGATCTCAAAGAAGCATTGATTGAAACTGTGAGGCTATACACCTAGACTCTAATTGTACCCGATTGATAATTTGGAAATGATTGCACCCAGTTGAAAATTTGGAACTGTAATTGCGCTAAAGGAAAATTCGGAACTGTGATTGCACCCAACTGAGAATCTGGAACTGTAATTGCACCCAATTGAAAATTTGGGTCTGTGATAACCAAATTGAGAATATGGAATTGTAATTGCACCCAATTGAGAATTTGGAACTGTGATTGCACCAAATTGAGAATTTGGAACTGTGATTGCACCCAGTTGAAAATGTTAAACCATTATTCTAACTCTTAAATGTAAACTTTGTGAGAATACTAAAAATCTGAGTTCTTATTTCTAACTTTTAAGACACTCCTTAAAACACATCAGAAAGAAACTTGGGAACTAAATGCATTTCCCAAGTACAAGATCCTAGATGTAAGACAGTGAATATAAATATGTAAAAAATATAATTTGCCTCAGAATACACCACTCCCACTCTAGTAGTCGCATCCTCATCCCCATCATCATCGCTATAGCAACACTCCCCTGCATCATCATCATTAGATTCCATTTGATGATCCCTTTAATCCTCATACATCCAAGTTTATTTAAATCTACTATACATATACATAATCCAGTTTTTTATTTAGATGCTCATGTTAGCTGCTCCATGTACATGTATATAACACATGTGTGTAAAAATATCCACTTTTGGGTTTTGAGCATGTTGTTTGGTGTTTTTCACCCCACATGCCCTCTTACTATTAAGTGTTGCCTCACAGTGTTTGCTACATAAAGCTTTTTCTTACTTCAGCTACATGTACTTGTTAAGTACTTTTCCATAGAGGTATTCCATTTAAAACACCCCTGAATGTTCAGTTGTAACCCTTGACTGACATAGCAACAAAAAATGAGTCAAGTTGGTCTTTTTGGTGGAGTCAAACAGCATGGGATCATGATATCAACTTTAATTTACATTGGCATGTTAAACACCTATTGATAGTTTTTTTTTTAGAAATATCACAAAAAGGTATTTGTTTGTTTTGAATGCTCATGTATTATATGTCAGTTTAATATTATATGTCAGTTTATCATATGTCAGTCTTTTTTTCCTTGTTCATTAAAAATATTGACAGTAAATCCAACTTCACCATATGTTTTATGCTCATATATTAGATGTTGACATAGCTTGGTTTAATATTTTAGTTCATGTGCATACATGTGTTATGTGAAATATACATGTACATGTTGAGTACATATACATGTGTCATTTAATATATTATTGGTTTTAATTAAATGAGACTACAGCCTTCCCAGAATGCAATCTGTATAATCAGTTTCACAAGTCGGAGTCATTAACAAGTGTGACTTTTGCACATTAAATTAGGCTTACATTTAACTTACATTTTATCAGGGGCGGATCTGGGAACCAACAAGCGGGGGGCCCAAATTTCAGGTCAGAGAAAAAAACATCCAAAATTTTGGGCCCCTAAAACCCAAAAGTGGGCCCACATTTGGAAATTTTGAGGCCCATTTTCTTCAAGATTTGGCCTGAAATTAAAAAATAATGCCTTAAAAGGCCAAGTAATGACAAAAAGGCCCACTTTTTGGGGCCTGAAGGCCTTTTTTGGCCCAAAATTTTTTTAGGGCCCAATTTTTTTTTTCTGGGCCCACCCAAGGGGGGGGGGGGGCCGGGCCCCCTAATCCGCCAGTGTTTTATTGCTCCTTTTTTGCATTCAAGATATATCTGCTCTATAATGTATATTTGTATACTAAATAATATAAACCAGGGTATTTACTTATAATTTGTAACCTTCTGATCAGTTAGATTTTGACATAGTGACCACAATTAAATTATAGCACTGGGTAATTTCCTCCTTTAGATAGACATCTCTATATTAGATGACCTGAAAATATGTTCAAATGTCAATCTCAATAAATATGTTCTCAGTTCTGGAAATAAGACAATTTTTGAAATAGGGCAAACCTCTCCTTAAAATCATAATTCTAAATGTACATGTAGTGTATATAATACATATGGTTTACATAAATGTGCACAGAAATTAAGAAAACCAAAGGGAAAAAATATTCAGTCATATTCTCAGTAGCACTTTAAAATAGGAGCCTATCAGAAAATCCCCTTACTCTAATTTTTCACCAATTTGACCCTTATCTTTAAAAAACACTGTCAATAGTACTGATTTCAGTTTTATATTTAATATAATAATATCACTGCAATATTCATCACTTACTTCATCATCTCTCAGTGATTTTATCAAAAGAACCCAGGCATCAGCCTCAGCTAAAAAAATCCATTATTACGAAATATATTTCGCCAGTACTAGGTTAATGTTACAAGATTAGAATTTGTAAACTGATGCTTGGTTCATGTTTCCCCATCAACTGCATTGTTTGAAGTACCTGTAGCCTCAAAAAAGATTAATGGCTTAACTTAGAACTTTTTGCAAATTATCGCCCAATTGTACACTATAAATATCTGGACTTGCATAAGGTGATGTTTCTTATAAACCACTGAGGAAATGCTTGATAAATTGCTGATTCAGCTACTTTTGAAAGTTAAATTGTCTACAACAAGTGATATGTTATCATAAAAAAGCATGTTCTACATGAAACTCTTTAGGTGTCACTCTTACTAGTGAAAACAAGTGTTATTTTAGGAAATGGGCAGTGTATTTAAAGCCTAAGGGTCTAACCAATGTAATTGAAAGGTAAACTGATGCATCAACTTACACACTCTACCACACAAGTCATTATTTTCTGAAATTATAATTTATTAATTAAAATTATTAATTAAGACTATTATTCAAAATAAACAGTCCAAAAGATTCGAACCAATATCTCGATCATTTCTGCGTTTTGGAATTTTTCGTTAGGAAATAAGACCAAAATTCACGATTCAAATGTTGACGTGAACAAAATGGCGGCTATTTGAATTCAAATTTTGTATCATTAATATGCCCATATATGGAACAGAATATAATTGTTGCACTCTGGGAGCCAATCCTCCCTGTCTACCGCATAAACAGTTAACAGAAAAAGCACATGAGATGAAGTTTATGATCTCATTGCTTGTTTGGTACAAAATATCATCTTTCAAATTTAAGTATGTTACATACAATACAATCAATTAAGAAAACAAGACCATTTAGTTTTTAAATAATCAAAAGATATGAAAAATGATTCTCCAATGTCAATATAAATATACAACAAATATTTTAATTGAAGTGCTTGAGGGGATGATGGGAAGCTGGCAATTAATTGAGGAGATTATGGGGGGGGGGATTCAGTGTGTATGTGCTCCTGGCTATCTTATTTAGATCAATCCAGATGCAGTCTAAGTTAAGCCTTGAAAAATGAAAACTAAACAATTTGATAATCAATTAGTAGATGCTAAATCACATCTATCTGGACTAACTCAACAAAATGTCTCTAACTCAGGCAATGGAAGATAAACCCAAGTAGAGGCTATCTAATAGGGAGTAAAGATATCAATTATATCCCAAGGGAACACTTCAAAATCATTTGTTTGAACCCCTGGTTCAGAGATTAAATAGTCAGAAATTAGTGTTATAAAAATATGACGAGTTTGCCCTCTATAAAATCAATGAAAAAATAATTACATGTACCACCAATAGACAAAGTACACTGACAGCGCAGCGCTAAAAGGAAAATGAATTATTAGGGTTGTACAAGATTGAATTATTATTCAACCTGAAGTTTATTAATTGCAATCTACAATTATTCAATAATAATGAAAAGGTCATCATTATGAGATGTTTAATTTCCGGTTAAGAATATGACAGTTGAATAACAAACCTCCCAATATAAACAAGGGGTACCAAAATTGTCCCATTTTTTAAGTGTATGTCCCAAAAAGAATTTAACAACTTTTGTGCTCATGCTGATATCCACTCACAATATGAATATATTCATTTTGAAGAAATTACATGTAAATGACAGTGTTTCAGATAATAACTTTCTGAATGTTTGCCCATTTCTCATTGACTGGACAATTTGTTTCCAAATAATCATTCATGATATAATGTGCAATTACAGTAAAATGAGTGCATTATTTGGTTTTATGGCTTCTGTTAGGAGTATACAGTACACTGTAGTACATTATTTTAGTGCATTTTTTGGTTTTATGGCTTTTGTTAGAGTATACAGTACACTGGCGGAGCTGGGGGCCAGGGGCCGCCTCCCCCCCCTTGGGTGGGCCCAGAAAAAAATGGGGCCCAAAAAATATTTTGTGCCAAAAAAGCCTAAAGGCCCCAAAACGTAGGCCCTTTTGGTCATTACTGGGGCTTTAAAGGCCTTATTTTTTAACTTTAGGCCAAATTATGAAGAACATGGGCCTCAAAATTTCAAAATTTGGGGGTCCACTTTTTTGTTTTAGTGGTTCTAAAGTTTTTTCTCTGACCTGAAATTTCCCCCCCCCCCACTTTGTTGATTCCCAGATCCACCCCTGCAGTATATGATTATTGATTACCAAAATCATACTGTCACCCACAACATGTTATAGGCTAATAGTACAATAAAGTTGCTGAACTGAGGGTAGTAAACATGTTTTTTTACTTTTTTTGTTGGAATCCCACAATACATCGAATTGAAGTAACTTAAGTTATTTGATGCGTCTCAAATATTAACATCACAGATCATCAAATATTAAGTATTGTTTTCAATGAAACACATACCTTATTAATCACAATAAACAAATATCAAAATAGCCTAAATTGCAGTTACCACTCCGACCACCCTGGCATTTTCTAAAGAATAATCATCGGTCGATATCAACCAATTTTGATAATTTTAAATAATATGAGCTAAAAACTACAAATTTTGTGTTAATATCAATAATATACTGTACTTGTATCAAAATGGAAGATTATCTCATTTTGTGTTTTTGCTGCAAATAATTGATGCATTATGATAGATGAATGAGAAAATAATTTTACATGTGGACAAAAAAATATGGGGTATAAAATTGGGAAAATGATTAGAGAAATCAATTGCTGAGTGGGAATCAAGTGAAGTGTAGAAGGAGGATGTCAAACATAAAGTCTCTCTGTGTTATAGTGCTCTTAGGACTGGTAAGTTATTAAAGTAATATTTGTATAGGTCATTTCCATATTAAATTCAAGCAAATATGGAGTAAAAGCACGACTGCATCATTGAACCTATCTAGGGTACTACATAGTCGTGAAATAATAGTTTCGTATTTAAAACATGACGTGGTTCAGGAATTTACAAAATTCATTATATAATGATGGATATATTGTTTTTGTTTACATTAAAGAAACTGGTAAAAATTAGATTTAGAATGCTCATATGTTTTCTGTTTTGACTAAATGCTACTTAAATTAGAAATATTGAATATGTTTCTTATCACTCATTACAGTATATTAGGATGGCAGAACAGATTCTTTATACATCGCAATCCCCTTTTAAGATGCTGCCACATTATCAATTGAAATTGGGGATGTGACTTTAAATTAGCTTTGTTTATTTTCAGCTAGTTCAAGATGTCATAACTGGTGAGTAGAAATACAAAATACACAAGACAAAACTACTTTGAACTAAAAAATCATAATTCTAATGAAATACATTGTAATTAAAATTTTTAAATGACTGTCACTCAGATTTTGAAATTCAATATGGTTTCAAATTCTCATTATCATGTATTAAGTCTTGCATCAAGTCCTTGTTCCACTGCATTAACGATTTATAAAATTTCTGAGGGTATAATGCATTAGAAGCACTACACTACCTAATAATTATGTAAAAGGTAAAACCTGTCTAATTCAAACACAACGAGGACCAGCCAAGAATATTTGGATAAGCATTTTTATTGACAGGGGTTCACATTTTGAGGTTTTTAACATGAGAGTCTATGGCAAACTGGAAAATGGGACCAAAAGCCTGTTTAAATTGAGAGGTGTTCAGATAGGAGATATGCAAATATACAGTTTTTACTGTCTTCATATGCACTTAATTAATATTCCATGCTTTATATTTCTCTATTCAAAATACTGATTAGGTGTGTCAAAAGATGAATGTCTCAATGAGCACAACAAGTATAGAGCCAAGCATGGTGCTCCTCCACTTGAATGGGATAACAAGCTTGCAAAGGCAGCTCAAAAGGTGGCACAAAATAGCAAGTTTGAACACAGTAACAATGGCTTTGGGGAGAATATTGCAATGAGCAGTGATGAAATGACATGTGCTAAAGCTATTAAAATGTGGTAAGAACTTATTATTGAATTTAGAGAGCAAAACTATATAAATGAAAATACACTTATTATATTACATTAAATAAATTAAATTATATTTTATAAATTCCTCGTACACATATCACAATGATCCATTATCTAATCTCTATATACAGTAACACCTGTGTAAATGGAACTTGTTTGGTACCCCAAAATATGTTCACTTTGGGAGGTGTTCCAATAACAGTGGTTCATTTTACATTAAATCATAGGTAACTGGACTTTGAAAAGTGTTCCACTTATGAAGTGTTCATGACTAAGATTGAAAACACAATTACCACAATTAACCACCCTGCCATTCAGTTCATTGCCCATTAGGCAACAGTTTGTCCAAGTCCACTGCCAAGAGTGAAAACTAGTTGCTATTGGCAGTCTGGCAGCATGCTGTTCCACTTATTAAGTCAAATGCGTAGCCAGGGGGTGCGATGGGTGCGATCACACCCCCCCATAACAGATAAAAATATATCCAAGAGAAAGAGGAAGAAAATAGCTTTAAAATGCTTTTTATTTAAAGCTAATAGCTCAATTTTGAAGGAAGTAGCATCAATTTTTGTAAAATTCAAGATAAATCTTAATTTTTGGGCTTGTTCATGCCACAATCGCACCCTCCCCCTGACTGATAAACAAATTTATTTGTCGATCTCACCCCCCTGACTGAAAGCTGGCTAAGCCCCTGTAAGTATATGTTAATAACAGGTTGTACTGTACTACTGTATTAATATTATATTACATTTCTATCCATGTACAGGTATGATGAAGTGAAGGATTATGGGAAGAATAATGGAGGTGTGACTGGACACTTCACACAAGTATGTCAAATTACAAAATTGCAGGCTTGCAGGATTTGCCAAGGGGGGTTCATTTTTCAAAAATTTCCAGGGGGGGTTCACATTTGACAATTTTGGCCCAAATATGGCTAAAATCACTTGAACACTTGAGAAGTGCTCAAAATGGTGAAAAACTGCATGATTTTGAAAGAACCCCCCCCCCCTTGGCTACGGGCCCGAATTATATTATATAATATTCTTTAATTTAAAAAATGAATGAACCCATATACTAGTAAATATTGCATTTGATCTTATTTATTCAAATCTTTTCTTATGTTTTTTAATAGTTTTTACTTTCCCCTTTGGCAATTGTTCTTCTTCAAATTGACGATGATTTTCTATCCAAGTTTCAACATTGTGGAAGGATGAAGTTAATTTCAATAGGGGAGGGACAAATGATCGTTTTGTCAGCAAATGGTGTTGATTTTCTGAATATTCAAGTGAAAGACGAATCAGCATTCCAAAGTTTTGTTTTATAAAGGGGGAGGGCAAAACATAACTTTGCTTTACTACATTTGTTGTTAATTAGACACAATCCTTTGGTCTAAGAATGTTTTCAATTTTTCAATTTAATTAATTACCTTTCATTATTGGAAGCAAGTAAATGAATGAATTCCAGGTTGTATGGAAATCGTCAACTAAGGTTGGATGTAGTGTAGGAAAGCCAGGTGGAATTTCATTCAGCAATGGAATGAAAGGACAGATGTTGGCATGCAACTATTCACCACCAGGAAACTACCAAGGGGAATATGAAAAAAATGTGCAAGCTTAAGGAAATACATGTACACATTCTGAAAATATTGAAGTGATATGACTATCTTTAATCTACTATACTATCTTTAAAAGTGAACCATTGACTGAATATGAATAAAAGATATTGCAATGAATTAAAAGATAAAGTTTTGTACAATCTCCAACAGGCAAGATCTTAATCCAAAATGGCTGACCCGGAAATATGAATCATCAGCAATTGTCGAAATGAACCCATGGTTGAAGAAGCCCCTTGATGAAGTAGCCCCATATGTCGAAGTTCGACGCATCTCCCCTACTAAATACCATCCAAAAAAACTTTTAAAATATTGTAAATTAATATTACCTCATTTGGCTCTGTAGAGGTAGCATGAACATCATCTCCTTTACTGGGCAACTCATCCAAATTCAGCTTCAACGAATTATCCATTCCTTGATCATAGTTTAGAGTCACTCTCACCAGTGTGTTGCTGGGATCACTGTGCCTATAAGGAGGTTGGGAGGTTGTGATTGGGGATTTAGAGGTTAGCTTTTTGATGGGGGATTGGGCAGTTGTTTTTCTGATTGGGGATTGATTGGTTGCCTTTGTACTTGGGGATTCTGAAGTTGGTTTTGTAATGGGGGAGTGGAGGGATGGCTTTATGTTGGAGGATAGTGAGGCCTTTGTGCTGGGGGATTCTGAAGTTGGTTTTGTAATTGGGGAGTGGAGGGATGGCTTAATGTTGGAGGATAGTGAGGCCTTTGTGCTGGGGGATTCTAAAGTTGGTTTTGTAATTGGGGAGTGGAGGGATGGCTTAATGTTGGAGGATTGTGAGGCCTTTGTGCTGGGGGATTCTGAAGTTGGGTTGGGGATGGGGGATTTAGATGTTAGCTTTGTGGTAGGGGATTGTGACTGTGGGGCAGGTACACCTCTAAGGCTGGATGGTATGCTTGGTCGGGATGACACATGTTTAACATCTTTATGTGGTGATCTGAAAAAGAAACAAATCCCTTTGAACAAAATTACCCCAAATCAATGCAAACATTTGTTTCTCTCAAAAAGAAGAGAAAAATGATAATATTGCAAAACAGTGCACAAAGTGGAAATGTACTACGGTTGAAAATGAGTATTTCTGTGTGTGAGTGCTCAAACAAACAAATATTAGTGCTGCACTTATCAAACTTGTAATTTAGTAAGAACATTGTTGTGTAACACTATCACGATGGCAAAAAGCAAAATAATATAACTGAAGAAGATGTGCAAATTACAATTAACTATATCTGAAGCAAGAGCAAGACATTACCCAGATATCATCAGTAGGTCCCTGCGTTCCATGGTCTGATCATAATCAGGTGGGCCAAACTCATTTGGAGGTCTAAATGCATCATGGTCACAGTATACCTTGTTTGGTACGTCTATGTTTTGCTCCTCTGGGTCATCAGTTGAAGATCTATGTATATTGTCATACTTGTCAACATTTAATGGCTCAATAATTTTGGACTGATCGTCTATTGTTTCATTATAATCCTGGGTTAATGCAACATGATCTTGTGATAATAGTTTGAGTGCCTCTTTTTGAAAAACATCAGATTGCCTCAATTTCCTTATGCGTATTGTTGTCTCATAATCAGGTGGTCCATGCTTTCTGGGAGCTAATCCCTTCTTTGGAGGGCTTTCTATAGAGCCTGCCTTGCTTAAAGTTCTGTGTTTATTTGGAAACTTTTCTCTATATATCTGATTCTCCTCATTTGTAGTATCTCCAATGTCTTGTGATTGCTCCTCATTGAAAGTATCTTGCATATTAGGTGATAGTTTTCTGTTTAAAGGCCATCCCTCGAGTGAAGATCCTCGCAACTTTAAAGGATCAGCTTTACTTGGTGGCTGTTTCTTTAACTTTTCTTGTTTAACTTTCTCTTGTTGTTTGACATGACACAAGGCTCTAGTAGTTGGTATTGCATGTTGATGTACATATGTTGTATGTGAAATATCATTTTCACCAGTATTTTCCGATGTAGCAAAGTCTACTGTTGGTAGACAGTTCTTTGCTATAGTTCTATTTAATCCAGATATCCCTATAGCTGTTTCATAATCTACTTCACGAACATGATCAATTTTACATTGATTTATATGAAACTCGTGCTTTGGTTTGTCGCCTTTGAACTTCACATGTTGGGGTTTCCTTTTATAACAGCCCTGGGGAAGTAGATGGTAGTTATGGTTTAAAACATTAGGATCTTCTTGAGAACTGTCAATATGTATAGGAACATTACTATTATGCCCTGTAATGTTATCAATATTCTGAGGTAGTTCAGTATCATGTGTGTTTTCAGTATCAATATGATCGGTGATGTCCATTGGTGTGTCATCGATATGCACCATGGGATTATAATCTGGTTCATTTTTGGTATGATCGAATGACATTTCACTGTTCTTCACATCAATGTCATTATGAACCAAAGACTCAAGTTTTTCAGTTAAGAGTCCATGATTTGATGGACTTATAAATTGAGCATGTTTCCGCGATCTTGGTACCTGTTTGGAGGATACATACACATTGTCCCAATCTGGTCTTTGTTCCCTCTCTTCAGTGAACAGATCGTTATTGTTCTCTATCATTGTTATGCCTATACCTTCTCTATCAGTCTTCATATCATATTCATCATAAGTATGTTCTGTCTTTACATCATTCCTATTATCAAGCTTATGTTCAGAATCATGGATGTGTTCACGTGCAAAGTCATTTGCCTTAAGATTACTATCCATCATGGTTTGGATATCAACATCTTCTTCAGTTAGGATTGAGAGTTTCTGGTGTGTAGATCTAAATAATTAATTAATAATTATACTATACATGGGTACATTTCTCGAAAGGTGATTTTCAACATTTTTGAATTATTATTCTCACTGACACTATGCAGTGATCTCCCCAGTTCAACAGGCTGCAAAATCATTATTGTACCTGGGTTTTGGTCAAAAAATCTCAATATTTCATAATTTTGACTGATTTTCATCAGGGTACTAGGGAGCTTTGTGTTATAAATTCAAGATTCAATAATGTTAAGTTTAAAACATCAAGAAATGTACACCAGTTTAACATGCTCATGCTGAAACATAGTGCATGAAATAAGTGTTAGTGACAAAATGAGTGATTTATAATTTTATATATTAGGAATTATAAACAAACGGATCTCATACCATTTCCCAAAATGTCACCTGGCAAATTCTTGTCCAATGTTTAATTTATTGTTGTTACAAGATAAATTCCTTATTTATATTGATAGTTTTAGCTAGAAAATGACATTCCTGAGTAAAGAAACATAGGAGTTTTACCTTGTCTCCATGTCTGAGTCGATAGCAACAGTTGAATCTTGATTGGAGTTTAAGTCCTCTTGTAATGTGAATATGGGTGCCTCTCTATTGATTAAGTCAGACTCAATTTCAATATGTGACTTATGAGAGGAATCTTTTGGATCGGGGATGGTATGACTCTGATGTGATTCATGCGTTCTAATTTCTTTCTCCCCTATATCATCCTTGTTGCAGAGTGAATTGTCTTCATTTGTGATCTGCCAGGCTTGTGATTGGTCTACAGTGTCAGGGTTAGCATCAACTATGGTTGGGTCTGATACACAGTGAAAGGTTTCTTTGGGATCAGGGGTGATATCCCCACTATGGTGACTGGATTCAGGACTGTAGGTGTCTAATGACACAGAGAAACTAGACTCTTGAGATTGTCCCTTCTCTATAGCAGTTTTAAAACTGGACCTGCGTTCACTACTGAGTTCTCTATGTATCACATTTCCCTGGTAATCGGTACACTCCACATATCGTGCACGCTGCAGCTTCCGCTTATGGGATCTCCGACTTTTGTCTTTTGATCTGAGACTATAATCTTTGGGTTTGAGGCTATGATCTCCGCGATGCCGACGTGGGCTAGCTTCAGTGCTGCCCTCTATATCTAACACTCCACTAGCGCTAGAACTATTAGAGAGGTCCCAATCTTGAGCTCGATGATAAATCCCGTAAGGTGGAAGAGTATTTCCGTTTGTCAGATCATCAGTCTGTGTGGCAGATGTAACATTCAGCTGTTGGTCATTAAGAGTCGGACATGATGTTGCCAGGAGTTGCAATTGGGAGTTATCTAATTCAACTTCCTTTCCTAGCGACTGTATAGGATCTACGAAATCTAAGTTTAAGGCCTCTGAAAACAAAAAATAAATACTGAATAGGTTAAAGTAAGTTCAGCCCATGATGGTGCATGAATTATGCACAAAAAAGTAAACCTTTAATCCTTGATATTACTTATTACAAACACAAGGTGCTGAAGTAAATGTGTTATGTTAAGACATTAATGCAATAGACATATTCAAAATTGAATTATTTGTTTATATAAAGTAGTACCAGCCTTTAAAAAAGCTCTTTTGGTATATCATCACTCTACTACACCTAACACTTAGAAATGCGTAAGATACTATATACTATGTCTAATTGTATCGTTTAGTATATTTTTGAATGTGCCTTAGTAACATCTAACATTCAACCAATAAACCATTAATAAGGAACAGACAAATAAAAACAAGTACATAATCATTACTAATAAGCCAAATGGGTTGCTCATGAACACCTAATGCAAGGTACAGTAGAGTGATCATTTTTCAAAACAAAGGCACATGAGATGAGATAAAGCTTAGTCTATCTGAATACTCCTTATTTGCAATTCCTTTTCCTTTTTACAATTTTATCAATGTATCAATTTTCAATAGAATTAAAGAGAGCAGTTACAGATGGCATATAAACAGCCTTATATCAGCAGGTAGGGCAGATTTAAAACTTCAACTTTATTAACAATAATACAACAAGACATTAACATGCAAAATGTCACCATCTGCCATTTGTTACAGATGCCGAATGGCAACCACCATGCCAACAACCAAACACCAACTGCCAAACACCATCCACAAAAAGTTGTGGTGGTAACATAATAAAATGAAATGATAGAAGACATCAATAGAATGAGTGAATGGGAGGACATTATAGGATTTGATGAAAGCAGCTCACCTACAAGTGGTGAACCTGGACTGGAATTAGATGTTCTCCTTATAGGTGTGCCTGTCTTTAACCCTGGCAATATGAAGACTCCACGACTTTTCTACAAACACAAGAAAATATATATACTCAAATACAGTATATATATACAGTATATAATCATTATCACATATTTTAAACAAGGCATTAAAATGCAAAATGTCACCCTCTGCCAATTGTTACAGATGCCAAACAACAACCACCAAAAGCCAAACACCATCTACAAAAAGTTGGAAACTATAACTTCTGGAGGTGACAGAACAATTAATCCATTCAGAGATGATCACAAGATTTCTTCAATGAATTGGGTACATGCAGAATATAAAGAACACCATATATTTCATTACACTTTAGTTCTAAATTATTCTCATTTTGTTACCCTTGTTATGCTATCAACTTAATGGACTAGAAGGACTAGAGACAAGTTGAGATTACAGTACAGTCCATTAGTCAAGTCTGAAATTATGCATCATGGCGCAGAGTTTGGGTGCATTGACTGGTGCATCGGCGCATCCAGTTCTTTAGTTGTCCAAAAATTGTCAGTGATTAATTAAAATTAAAAATATTGCTCTCATTTAACGTCAAGCCTATTTTCAAAAATTAAAAGTCCAACAGTTACGATGCTCTGGTCTGCTCCATCTCCTTTTATAAACAGTACGAAATTTTTCCCTCCGAGTACTTCAATCCTTTAAATTGTTTCAAGATCAAACCACCCAGTTCTAAATTGAATTCAACTTACCAGAGATCTGAGTGTTGCCTTACTCTGAGCTAAATGTGACTGTAAAACTTTGATATCTCTAGTCACTTGTTCCTTCAATGACTCTGTCGACTGACCTAAAGGTGGGCTCTGAAATCAAACTTTTAAAATTAACTACTTAGTGTCACAAAATTCCTGTCACAAATAAAATCGAACGACTACTTTATGGAAAATTTTCTGAATTAGCATTGTATTTAATGTTTCTGTTGTATAGTTGATACTTGTATATTTGTGATTGTATTTGAGATTATACGCTAAAAGATACTTGAAGGAGGATTAGTTTCTCAAGTTCAAAAGTTACATCAAGTAAACTTGTAAATCTCTGTATGACAGTATGGGACACACAGGTTTCACTGTATAACATGTACATATAGTTCAAGTAGATGGGTCATTTATGATGACCAATCTAATGGTGATAATGTCTGCTGTTTTATGATTTGTTATAACACAATTAATCTCAGATGACCTCCAATTGCTATTGTAAACAATTCAATCATGAATGTCTGCAATGACATGGTGCGGCAATCATTGATTTTACAATTGATTTTTGATCCTCAGGCAAATCATGAGATCTTTTGATCAAAATAATATTCTTAATTTATTTTTTTTAAATCTGGTCAAGTAAATTATTCAATAAAGATATACCTGTCTTGAGGGGAATATTTGAGATATGTATGCACTGGGAGATTTAAGAGTCAATTATCCCCAGGGAAATACATGTGTATTTGTTTCTTCCAAGGCTCTATAACAATTTTTCCACATTTATTTATTTCATTTTGTTGAAACTGAGGAACAGAATCAGGATTCTTTATATATCCAAAACATCAGAGATATCAGAGATAGTGGATATAGAAATTGCCCATTCTGCTCCCTAGATACAATATGTTCCCTACAATTCCAGTATGGGATAAATCCATATCTTACCTGTGAATCTGAGAGATATTCCAATTCTACCTCTCTGTGGACCAATCTCCAAATTTCTTTCAACTCCAACTGGTGCTCATATTTTTCTGCCAGGAGTGTATCCTAAAATATATTTTCTATAATAATCTCTGCTAAGATACATCCTTAACATATTTTCTATGGTGTTATTACATTTCTATATCCTAGCACATACAATCATTTAAACCTTCAAAATAATTCTCCATAAAAATAATAATCATCAACAAAAATTTCTGTCATGACTTAATTCTTAAACCATAATTTCTGGCAAGAGTGTATCCAAAATAATTTGGCAATGGTGAATATTAATTCGGTTATCCATAATATTTTGTTTTATATTTCCTTACTTGTCATCCAGATATCGAATATATTTTTCATTCTGATTTCCACATAATCATTTATGTGTACAATATATATAACTATCAATAATATTCTGAAGTAAAAGTGCAGTCTAAACTAAGTACTGTATGGTGCTAAAGCTTCATAGGTGATTATATGCATATGAGTATAGTATACCTGCTTCACTACGGACGTGTTAAGCTAGGAGATAACAGGTGATTACGTAGTCTTGAAAAATCTCTTGTTAACCAGTCATCTTTATCTTCATACCTGTATACTTGACATTACAATAAAAACATGGAGTTCAAGTTAATAATGGAAAATAAACCCCTGGGAAAAAGTAAATACATGAAGTGCATATACTTAATACACATTTCTTCACAATTAAAACAGGGATTTTGTTTATGTATATTTCAACATACAGAGTTAAACTCAATTCTGGGAGGTAAATATTTTTTAAGGGGGTATGTCTATTTTGTTCAGCGCAGAGGAAATATTTGTCAGATTCTGTCAATATTTATCTCGTTATATTGAATTGTGATGTATAAATCGCAGGTTGCTGAAGAAAATGTCATTTTCTCCTTTATTATAGAAACATGTCTGGGGTGGCTATGAATTTCAAAGGAAAATAATCTAATTATGTGAATCATTGGCATTAGAAAGATGAATTCCTCGTTGTACATACCTCTAAATAAAACATTGGCAGTAGTGAAAAATGCTAAACAAAGAAAGGATGACTTATAGCAACCTCACTAATCACAGGTGTAAAAACTCATCAGAAGGTTAGCAAACAAACCATAAACAAACAAGATTTTTGCTTGTTTATTTGTTTGTTTGTATCCTTTTTAATGTTATATTTTAATGGGCATGTTCTGGTCATACCAATTTTCCATTTATTTTAGGAGGGCTTAGTTAGTGCTTTTGCATGTTCTACTGAGTTACAGTCTCAGTGCTAACTTGGCCTTCTGATATTCATATATAAGTATGCATAATTGCTCAACAACATATTTCACTATTTTAAGACAAAAATTTGGCATTTAATCTGAGAGGGTTGTTATTATCTACTGATTACAGAAAAATACATTTGAAATATTAATTATTAGTCAGGAAGTCTCAGCAAAAATGTTATATGTACCGAGTGATCTCCCCAGGATATTTTCTCAATTGGGTGCTAAATCCTCATTCTCTCTGTTTTTATCAATATGTCTCAATATTTCACACTTTTGGTACGGTGCAGAGAGATTTTCAACTGAGGCCTTGTAATTTTCAGATTTTCAACTAGGTGCTATGCATGTAGATTAAATCCATGGATGATCTACAAAAAAACATCATGAATCCACCTCTCAAAATCTCATTCCAAAGGCATAGAAAATGAAAAAATATCAAACTGGTAATGAACAAGCTCTTGAAAATAAAATCTCTTGAACACACATTTTAAGCAGGGGAAGGACTTCTACTAAGCAATTGAATACTGGAAAGACATATGCGGCATCTATATAAAGTCAGCAAAACACCAAGTAACATTCAAGAAGTCAGTTTTAAATATAGAATATGTTACAAAGGGATTAAAAATGCAATATTTTCAATAAACCATTGTTTACTGGGGTTTCAATAACCGAAGTGCTCTGTGCATAAAAGGCTGTAACAATAAATGTCAGAAATGCCAGGCACACAACCTTAAAAAATGAATGTGCATATAATACTATAACAATAAATGTAAGAAATGCCAGGCTCACAACCTTAAAAATGAATGTGCAGAAAAGGCTGAAACAATAAATGTCAGAAATGCCAGGCACACAACCTTAAAAATGAATGTGCAGAAAAATACTATAACAATAAATGTAAGAAATGCCAGGCTCACAACCTTAAAAATGAATGTGCAGAAAAGGCTGAAACAATAAATGTCAGAAATGCCAGGCTCACAACCTTAAAAATGAATGTGCAGAAAAATACTATAACAAGAAATGTAAGAAATGCCAGGCTCACAACCTTAAAAATGAATGTGCAGAAAAGGCTGAAACAATAAATGTCCGAAATACCAGGCACACAATCTTAAAAAGTAAATGTGCAGAAAAGCTGCAACAATAAATGTCAGAAATGCCAGGCACACAACCTTAAAAATGAATGTGCAGAAAACCTGTAACAATAAATGTCAGAAATGGCAGGGACACAACCTAAATGTCAGAAATGCCAGATACAAAACCTTAAAAATGAATGTGCAGAAAAAGCTGTAACAAAAAATGTCAGAAATGGCAGGGACACAACCTAAATGACAGAAATGCCAGGTACACAACCTTAAAAATGAATGTGCAGAAAAGCTGTAACAATAAATGTCAGAAATGGCAGGGACACAACCTAAATGTCAGAAATGTCAGAAATGCCAGGTACACAACCTTAAAAATGAATGTGCAGAAAAGCTGTAACAATAAATGGCAGAAATGGCAGGGACACAACCTAAATGTCAGAAATGTCAGAAATGCCAGGCACACAACCTTAAAAATGAATGTGCAGAAAAGGCTGCAACAATAAAATGTCAGGAATGCCAGGCACAAAACCTTAAAAATTGAATGTGCAGAAAAGCTGTAACAATAAATGTCAGAAATGCAACACACACAACCCTTAAAAATGAATGTGCAGAAAAGACAGTAACAATAATGTCAGAAATACCAGGCTCAAAATCTTAGAAAATGAATGTGCAGAAAAGACTGTAATAATGTCAGAAATGACCAGCACACAACCTTAAAAGGGAGGAGGAATTCCTTGTTTTACTTACCTCTAAATGTTCAGCTTTCTTCTTCTCTTGGGCAATTACCTCTTTTGAATTGATCAATTCCAATGTCTGACTTTCCACATTCAAATCTACAATAAGGAGGATGAATTCCTTGTTTTGCATACCTCTAAATGTTCAGCTTTCTTCTTCTCTTGTGCAATTACTTCCTATGACTTGATCAACTCCAATGTCTACCTTTCCACATTCAAATCTACAATAAGGAGGATAAATTCCTCGTTTTACATACATCTTAATGTGCTTACCTCATTTGACTTTCCTTACCTCCTTTGACTTGATCAACTTCAAGGTCTTGCATTCCACATTCTAATTTACAATAAGGAGGATGAATTCCTTGTTTTGCATACCTCTAAACGTTCAGCTTTCTTCTTCTCTTGTGCAATTACTTCCTTTGACTTGATCAACTGCAATGTCTCACTTTACACATTCAAATCTACAATAAGGAGGATAAATTCCTCGTTTTACATACATCTTAATGTGCTTACCTCATTTGACTTTCCTTACCTCCTTTGACTTGATCAACTTCAAGGTCTTGCATTCCACATTCTAATTTACAATAAGGAGGATGAATTCCTTGTTTTGCATACCTCTAAACGTTCAGCTTTCTTCTTCTCTTGTGCAATTACTTCCTTTGACTTGATCAACTGCAATGTCTCACTTTCCACATTCAAATCTACAATAAGGAGGATGAATTCCTTGTTTTACATACATCTTAGTGTGCTTACCTCATTTGACTTACCTTACCTCCTTTGATTTGATCAATTTCAAGGTCTTGCATTCCACATTCATATCTAAAATAAGGAGGATGAATTTCTCGTATTACATACCTCATAATGTTCAGCTTTCTTCTTTTGTGCAATGACCTCCTTTGACTTGATCAACTCCAATGTCTAACTTTCCACATTCAAATCTACAATAAGGAGTATGAATTCCTTGTTTTACATACATCTTTATGTTCAGCTTTCTTCTTCTCTTGTGCAATTACCTCTTTTGACTTGAGCGACTCCAATGTCTGACTTTCCACATTCAAATCTACAATAAAGAGGATGAATTCCTTGTTTTTATACATCTTAAGGTACCTACCTCTTTTGACTTACCTTACCTCCTTTGACCAACTTTTCACATTTTCAGAAAAACTGTAACAGTAAATGTCAGAAATGTGAGGCTAACAACCTTAAAAAATGAATGTGCAAAAAAGGCTGTGACAATAAATGTCAGAAATGCCAGGCACACAACCTTAAAAAATGAATGTGCAGAAAAGACTGTGACAATAATGTCAGAAATGCCAGGCACACAACCTCAAGAAATGAATGTGCAGAAGAGGCTGTAACAATAAATGTCAGAAATGCCAGGCACACAACCTTAAAAATAATGTGCAGAATGGACTGTGACAATAAATGTCAGAAATGCCAGGCACACAACCTTAAAAATGAATGTGCAGAAAAGACTGTGACAATAAATGTCAGAAATGCCAGGCACACAACCTTAAAAAATGAATGTGCAGAAGAGGCTGTAACAATAAATGTCAGAAATGCCAGGCACACAACCTTAAAAAATGAATGTGCAGAAGAGGCTGTAACAATAAATGTCAGAAATGCCAGGCACACAACCTTAAAAATGAATGTGCAGAAAAGGCTGCAACAATAAATGTCAGAAATGCCAGGCACACAACCTTAAAAAATGAATGTGCAGAAAAGACTGTAACAATAAATGTCAGAAATGCCAGGCACACAACCTTAAAAAATGAATGTGCAGAAAAGGCTGTAACAATAAATGTAAGAAATGCCAGGCACACAACCTTAAAAATAAATGTGCAGAAAAGACTAAAACAGTAATGTCAGAAATGCCTGGCACCCAACCTTAAAAGATGAATGTACAGAAAAGACTGTAACAATAAAAGTCAGAAACACCAGGCACACAACCTTAACAAGACACAGGACGTGAACGAGATCACACCATCAAATAGGCAGACACTATGAACGAAGAAAACTGTTCTCCTGTTTACAAATTTGAAGAACAAGAAAACAAGACGGCTGCCCAAAAGTTAACCAGCTCTAGTACTTGATATCGTCTATCATTTGTGTAAATTTGAAGGAAATTCGATGAGCAATTTCCTGAAATGGTGATGACAAGATTTTTCGAAAAACCTTAAAAATGGCCACCAGAAAACAAGATGGCCGCCCAAAAGTTAATCAGCTCTGGTACTTGATATCCTCTATCATTTGTGTAAATTTGAAGGAAATCCGATGAGTGGTTTTCCTGAAATGGCGATGACAAGATTTTTCGAAAAACCTTAAAAATGGCCACCAGAAAACAAGATGGCCGCCCAAAATTTAATCAGCTCTAGTACTTGATATCCTCTATCATGTGTGTAAATTTGAAGGAAATCCGATGAGCGGATTTTCTGTAATGGCGATGACAAGATTTTTCTAAAAATCTTCAAAATGGCTGCCAGAAAACAAGATGGCCGCCCAAAAGTTAATCAGCTCTAGTACTTGATATTTCTTTCGTTTGTGTAAATTTGAAGGAAATCCAATGAGCGGTTTTCCTGAAATGGCGATGACAAGATTTTTCGAAAAACCTTCAAAATGGCCACCAGAAAACAAGATGACCACCCAAAAGTTAATCAGCTCTAGTACTTCATATGCTCTATCATCTCTGCGAATTTGGAGAAAATCTGATGAGCAGTTTTCCTTAAACAGCGATGACAAAAAGCGGGATTCACGATCACGACCACGATCACGAACACGATCACGACCAGTATGACGACTATATCCCACCGATGGTGTGATAAAAATTGAATGTGCAGAAAAGACTAACAGTAATGTCAGAAATGCCAGGCACACAACCTTAAAGAATGAATGTGCAGAAAAGGCTGTAACAAAATAAATGTCAGAAATGCCAGGCACACAACCTTAAAGAATGAATATGCAGAAAAGGCTGTAATAAAATAAATGTCAGAAATGCCAGGCATACAACCTTAAAAAATGAATGTGCAGAAAAGGCTGTAACAAAATAAATGTCAGAAATGCCAGGTACACAACCTTAAAAATGAATGTGCAGAAAATGTGCAGGAAAGGCTGTAACGATAAATGTCAGAAATGCCAGGCACACAACCTTAAAAAGGAGGAATTCCTTGATTATGATTAACTTACCCCTAAATATCGAGCTTTCTTCTTCCCTTGTGCAATTACTTCTTTTGACTTGATCAACTCCAATGTCTGACTTTCTACATTCAAATCTACTATAAGGAGGATGAATTCCTTGTTTTACATACCTCTAAACATTCAGCCTTTTTCTCTTGTGTAATTACCTCCTTTAACTTCAACTCAAATGTCTGACTTTCCACATTCAAATCTTCAATAAAGAGGATGAATTCCTTGTTTTCAAACATCTTCATTACCTACCTCCTTTGACTTACCTTACCTCCTTTAACTAACTTTTCACATTTTCAGAAAAGACTGTAACAGTAAATGTCAGACATGCGAGGCACACAACCTTAAAAATGAATGTGCGGGAAAGGCTGTTACAATAAATGTAAGAAATGCCAGGCACACAACCTTAAAAAATGAATGTGCAGAAAAGGCTGTAACAATAAATGTCAGAAATGCCAGGCACACAACCTTAAAAAATGAATGTGCAGAAAAGACTGTAACAATAAATGTCAGAAATGCCAGGCACACGACCTTAAAAATATGAATGTGCAGAACAGACTGTAACAATAATGTCAGAAATGCCAGGCACACAACCTTAAAATTGACTTACCTTACCTCCTTTGACTTGATGAACTCCATTGTCTGACTTTCCTCATTCAAATCTACACTAAGGAGGATGAATTCCTTGTTTTACATAATCTAATCATTCAGCCTTTTTCTATTGTGCAATTACCTCTTTTGTAGGATGAATTCCTCGTTTTACATACCTCTAAACATTCAGCCTTCTTCTCTTGTGTAATTACCTCTTTTGTCTTGATCAACTCAAATGTCTGACTTTCTGCATTCAAATCTACAATAAAGAGGATGAATTCCTTGTTTTACATATATCTCAATGTACCTACCTTGTTTGACTTACCTGACCTCTTTTGACTTGATCAACTCCAATGTCTGACTTTCCACATTCAAATCTACAATAAAGAGGATGAATTCCTTGTTTTACATATATCTCAATGTACCTACCTCGTTTGACTTACCTGACCTCTTTTGTCTTGATCAACTCAAATGTCTGACTTTCCACATTCAAATCTACAATAAGGAGGATGAATTCCTTGTTTTACATATATCTCAATGTACCTACCTCGTTTGACTTACCTGACCTCTTTTGTCTTGATCAACTCAAATGTCTGACCTTCCACATTCAAATCTACAATAAAGAGGATGAATTCCTTGTTTTACATATATCTCAATGTACCTACCTCGTTTGACTTACCTGACCTCTTTTGACTTGATCAACTCAAATGTCTGACTTTCCACATTCAAATCTACAATAAAGAGGATGAATTCCTTGTTTTACATATATCTCAACGTACCTACCTCGTTTGACTTACCTGACCTCTTTTGACTTGATCAACTCCAATGTCTGACTTTCCACATACCTCCTCTGACTTACCTTACCTCTTTTGACTTGATCAACTCAAATGTCTGACTGTCCACATTAAAATGTACAATAAGGAGGATGAATTCCTTGCTTTACATATATCTTAATGTACCAACCTCATTTGACTTACCTGACCTCTTTTGACTTGATCAACTCCAATGTCTGACTTTCCACATTCAAATTTACAATAAGGAGGATGAATTCCTCGTTTTACATATATCTTAATGTACCTACCGCCTTTGACTTACCTTACCTCTTCTGTCTTGATCAACTCAAACGTCTGACTTTCCACATTCAAATGTACAATAAGGAGGATGAATTCCTCGTTTTGCATATATCTTTATGTACCTACCGCCTTTGACTTACCTTACCTCTTCTGTCTTGATCAACTCAAACGTCTGACTTTCCACATTCAAATTTACAATAAGGAGGATGAATTCCTCATTTTACATATATCTTAATGTACCTACCGCCTTTGACTTAGTCCTTACCTCTTCTGTCTTGATCAACTCAAATGTCTGACTTTCCACATTGAAATTTACAATAAGGAGGATGAATTCCTTGTTTTACATATATCTTAATGTACCTACCGCCTTTGACTTACCTTACCTCTTCTGTCTTGATCAACTCAAATGTCTGACTTTCCACATTCAAATCTACAATAAGGAGGATGAATTCCTCGTTTTACATACCTCTAAATGTTCAGCTTTCTTCTTCTCTTGTGCAATTACCTCTTTTGACTTGATCAACTCCTCCTGGACATCTGACATATCTCCTGGAATATAACATGTGATAAAATAGTTTGGAATAAAATACATTTAAGACATTACTCATATTAGCAATTCAACTATTCTATTCATTATCTTTGCAGTAATCTCGTTTTCTGAGCATTATAATTACCTTTTACTTTGGTGCACTGCTCAGTCAGCTTTGTATTGGTCCTGCAAGCATACACAGTCTGAAGTTGAAATAAGCTAGAATGATAGAACAATTTCTTATCTGATACATCAATCCGGAGTGAATTCAGTCTTGAAAATACATTATGGAATGCCATAAAACAATCAAAACACGAAGGGCAATATCACTCAAGCACAGAAAATACACCCAAGGATCAATATTGCATTTGAATTTCAAAACACCAAAATATTACTATCTTATATAAAGTCAATGTGTATTCTGTAAATGTGATCACAAGATTTTGGGTGTAGACAAAAGTAATGTACAGTTTTTTGTTTATCTCAAATCCAGCTAACCTATTAAAACTATTAAATCGTCACAAGATTTTTGGACATCAAAGGTATTAGCACTAAACTGGTACTTGGAAATCAATTCCCAGGACACAAAATTTGGGGATAGTTAGCTAAAAATTCAAAATGGCTACTGTCGTTCACCCAGCATACCCAAAAACCAATTGTAACCAAATCAAACTTAATGAACAGAGGTGTTCAACATGATGAACAGAGGTGTTCAACCTAATGAACAGATGAGTTCAATCTTATAAACAGAGGTGTTCAACCTAAAAAACAAGAAGAGATAATCATATAACCATAGGTGTTCAACCTAATGAACAGAGGAGTTCAACCTATTGAACAGAGGAGTTCAACCTAATGAACAGAGGAGTTCAACCTAATGAACAGAGGAGTTCAACCTAATGAACAGAGGAGTTCAACCTATTGAACAAAGGGGTTCAACCTATTGAACAGAAGAGTTCAACCTAATGAACAGAGAAGTTCAACCTAATGAACAGAGGAGTTCAACCTAATGAACAGAGAAGTTCAACCTAATGAACAGAGGAGGTCAACCTAATGAACAGAGGAGTTCAACCTATTGAACAGAGGAGTTCAACCTAATGAACAGAGGAGGTCAACCTAATGAACAGAGGAGGTCAACCTAATGAACAGAGGAGTTCAACCTAATGAACAGAGGAGTTCAACCTATTGAACAAAGGGGTTCAACCTATTGAACAAAGGGGTTCAACCTATTGAACAGAAGAGTTCAACCTAATGAACAAAGAAGTTCAACCTAATGAACAGAGGAGGTCAACCTAATGAACAGAGGAGTTCAACCTAATGAACAGAGGAGTTCAACCTATTGAACAAAGGGGTTCAACCTAATGAACAGAGAAGTTCAACCTAATGAACAGAGGAGGTCAACCTAATGAACAGAGGAGTTCAACCTAATGAACAGAGGAGTTCAACCTATTGAACAAAGGGGTTCAACCTATTGAACAGAGGAGTTCAACCTAATGAACAGAGAAGTTCAACCTAATGAACAGAGGAGTTCAACCTAATGAACAGAGGAGTTCAACCTAATGAACAGAGAAGTTCAACCTAATGAACAGAGGAGGTCAACCTAATGAACAGAGGAGTTCAACCTAATGAACAGAGAAGTTCAACCTAATGAACAGAGGAGTTCAACCTATTGAACAGAGGAGTTCAACCTAATGAACAGAGAAGTTCAACCTAATGAACAGAGAAGTTCAACCTAATGAACAAAGGGGTTCAACCTAATAAACAGAGGAGTTCAACCTAATGAACAGAGGTGTTCAACCTAATGAACAGAGGTGTTCAACCTAAATAACAAAAAGAGATGATCATATAACCATGGGTGTTCCCCTTCACCTGATTTACTGCTTTATAGAACATCTTACATTTGGCAAAGCATTGCAATGAATTGAAAACCACCATGTAAAGATGATGGAGCGTGACTTTGTTGTGAAAACGATTCAACAGAGGAAATCTATAGCATCAGTGGGATCAAATTGAAGATTCTTTCCAAAGTATTAATAGCCATTAGGATGCTACCTTACAAATAAAATCAAAATTGTTACATTATACAAGTATATTTTTGTTAATTACTGAAACAGAATTCTATATACATGTATTTTTAATGGAAATGTTCAACAGGATAATGTTTGTAAAATCGCCATAATAATAATTATTTAACTACATATGTATTTCAGTGAAACCTGTTTAATCCGACTGAAATTGTTCGAAATAGGTGATAATAATGATTAATAATAGAAAAAATATTTGAACAATTTTGAATAAAACATTTGATATTAGATGAAAAGTGTTCATATGAAACAGGTTAATTTTCCAAACATGACTGTCCAACATGTTCAAATTGGGAGGTGTTCACATTTCTAGGCTTTTTAATAAGAGCTTAATTGGAAGGAAAAAAATGGAACCGGGAAAAAGTGTTCTGATTGGGAGCTGATTGGATTAGAGAGGTGTTCAGACATATAGGGTTTACTGTATGTGGGTTTTCTGGTAATCAATGATAAAATATCAAACATGTTTCCATCACAATAAGGTTAATCAGACAACTCATTTCACTACCTTAATTAGTCAGATAGCTTATTCTTCTCCACCTACCTTAATTCCACATTTATCATTAGAATCATCAACCTTATTTAATATTGTTTATTGGTATGAAAAAACCAGATAACCAAAAATAAATCCAATCATAATAATTACTTCTCCGAGTATTGATTTACACTTCAAAGGATGTTCCAGGTCCAATATTTCAAAATCTTACTGAAAATTTCCTACAAACTACACCTTCAGGGTATCATTTAAGACTTTCAGGAAAATTCTCCAGGGAAATTAAAAGTTTTAGTTAAACAACAAATAGGCTAATTAAATATCTTAGGATTTTGTATGATTTCATTGCCAAACATTCAATTGCAAGATAATTTTTAAGGGACTGGAACTGATGATCGTTACTAACACAATCTCATAGCACCGTAATTTCCCATGTCAATAAAACAATTGCATTTAAATCACATATCTTACCAGATATCCAAAATGGAAGTAGTTTTAGAATATATACAGATCAATCATAGCTTTAAAGGATTTTCCTTTAGGGTATAGTAAAATTATTGCAGGTTCTAGTGGTATTTTCATTTTATAATCCTTGACAACATACCCTCCATACCCTCTTTAAAACCTTGATAACCTATTACAACCCTTGACATTCTATACAAATCCTGACTCTCTAATATAAGCAATTGACACCCTATTACAACCCTTCACACCGTACTACAACCCTTGATACTCTATTACAACCCTTGACATCATAAATCAACACTTGGCATCCTATCAAAACCCTTGAGACAAAAGATATTCCTAAACCTTGTATTACAATCCTTGTCATTCTACTACAACCCTTGACATCCTATTTCAAACAATGACACAATATTACAATCGCTTGACATCAAATTACATCAAATTACCATCCACCTTGCTTTTGATTTATATATTTCTTGCCTTGATTGATTGTTCATTCAAGTAAGCTGATAGACTAGAGATAAAGCAACGTTTAACTGATTCAATATTTGAAATGTATTCTGTCATCTGTGACTTCTGGACATACAAACAATTGATTTTATGATAAGTCACCTTAAAACAAGCTCGCCACTGGAAATAAGGGAGTTCTATCCAAATATATGAATCAAATACCAGCACCAAATCCTGAAACAAGCCCACCACTGGAAATAAGGGAGTTCTAGTCAAATATATGAATCAACTAGAAAAACAGCAACTCCACGGAGTAGCAAATCCCACCGAACAAAACATATTATGCTTATTATAGCTAGTGTAAATGTTGAAATGTTTGTGCACTTTGTGATAGAAGCATGAAAGGCACAAATTAGTTTATACCAACTCCTTACCCTAGGCATCAGCATATAAAATTTGAACCAAATCCGTCAACTTGTATTTGAGTTATCAACGATAACATTTTTTACAAAAAATGGCGGCCATTTTGAATTGAGCGGCCATATTGAAAATTCCTTCTGGAGCAGAGGTCCTACACTCATAAGGCATAAGCCTATAAAATTTGAATCAAATCCGTGAAACGGTATTTGAGTTATCGCCCGGACAAACAGACGGACGGACGGACGGACGGACGGACGGCTTTCCTATATCCCTCTCGAACTTCGTTCGGTGGGATAAATACCAGCACCAAATCCTGAAACAAGCCCACCACTGGAAATAAGGGAGTTCTATCCAAATATATGAATCAAATACCAGCACCAAATCCTGAAACAAGCCCACCACTGGAAATAAGGGAGTTCTAGTCAAATACATGATACATACCAGCACCAAATCCTGAAACAAGCTCGCCACTGGAAATAAGGGGATTCTATCAAAATATATGAATCAAATACCAGCACCAAATCCTGAAACAAGCTCACCACTGGAAATAAGGGAATTCTAGCCAAATATATGAATCAAATACCAGCACCAAATCCTGAAACAAGCTCACCACTGGAAATAAGGGAATTCTAGCCAAATATATGAATCAAATACCAGCACCAAATCCTGAAACAAGCCCACCACTGGAAATAAGGGAGTTCTAGCCAAATATATGAATCAAATACCAGCACCAAATCCTGAAATAAGCTCACCACTGGAAATAAGGGAATTCTAGCCAAATATATGAATCAAATACCAGCACCAAATCCTGAAACAAGCTCACCACTGGAAATAAGGAAATTCTAGCCAAATATATGAATCAAATACCAGCACCAAATCCTGAAACAAGCTTACACCACTGGAAATAAGGGAGTTCTAGTCAAATATATGAATCAAATACCAGCACCAAATCCTGAAATAAGCTCACCACTGGAAATAAGGGAATTCTAGCCAAATATATTAATCAAATACCAGCACCAAATCCTGAAACAAGCTCACCACTGGAAATAAGGGAATTCTAGCCAAATATATGAATCAAATACCAGCACCAAATCCTCAAACAAGCTCACCACTGGAAATAAGGGGATTCTAGCCAAATATATGAATCAAATACCAGCACCAAATCCTGAAATAAGCTCACCACTGGAAATTAGAGAATTCTAGTCAAATATATAAATCAAATACCAGCACCAAATCCTATCTCGTAATAATATTTTCTTTGATAGCCCTCGTTATAACTCAAATTCTTTCTAGCAATTTCCTGATTTATGTCTCAGTGTCTGTAAGAAGCCATAATAATCTGTGCTGTTGAGGCAATAAAGAAACTAAAATCTTAATATTATTGGCCATTCCTTTTTGCACATTAAAATTACAATCATTGACTTCTTGGCAATGATGAAAAAAAGAATACTGCAATTGTATCTTCTCTATACAATATATAGAAAATATCTATTACAGTAAAACCTGTATATATGAACACCTCTCAATGTGTACACTTTTTCCAAGTCCCAGTCTTCCATTGACTACCATGTTATAAAAACCTTAAAATGTGAACACCTGCTTAATCTGAACACTTTTTGCTGGTCCAAAGCTAGTTTGGATTAGACAGGTTTTTACTATACACTATATATTACCAAACATTCGAAAAATGAAGAAAGAAGAAACAGATAAATATTTGTACCATGAGTCTATTATAAGTGGATTCATTATAGGCATTAACATGCAACATGTCACCACCTACCATTTGTTACAGATGGCCAACACCAACTGCTGAACACCAACCACTGAATGCCAAACACCAACTACCTCCACAAAAAAGTGGAGCCTTTAAAAATTTGTCATCACTTGTGGCGGTGACATAAAAAACATGAATCTATCTCCGAAGTCCCTTGTCTATTTGATCTCAAAGTAACACTTGATTTCAGATCCAAGTGATTCTCACATCAGGTGGGTTTAATTTATATGATTTATAGGTATTGGAGGGATAACTTAACTTATTGATTCATTGATATTGGTTTGTAGATATCTTAGAACTGGGGAAAATTGGAGTTGACTCCAGAAATTCCAATGATATCCCATCAGCTAGCAATATGCTTTCGATACTTCTTAACTTTCAGAAAAAATCAAAAAAATAAACTGGGGAAATGTCATAATATAATTATTAAATCAAAATAATTTTGACAAAATAGTTTGATTTAAAACTATGTATTCTAATGTTAAGATGTCCACATACAATTTTGAAAAAATATTACCTAAATGCATTAAATACTGTTGATTGAAATCATGATCATTATGAAACCACTCATTATGTAGATCTACCATAAAAGAGGAGATCTAATTTGCTTATCAGACTCATATAGCAATGACCATTGATTGGGGAATGATCTGCAATTCTGAGACCATATCTATAGCAGATATTACACCGTGATTTCAAGATTATTGATCGGATAGAATTTGGAATTGCTTCCCTTTTGATCCATGGCATGTCTTGAGTAATGGATTGTTCCCTCCAGTATAAAATTATTCGAGATCCAAAATTTCGACATGGTCTAAATAATTGAGAGGAATGCAGACAACAGTGAAACCTGTATAGTGAAACACCCCTAGAGGTAGAACAATTTTCAGAGTACCAAGAACAACTGCCTAAATGTTTAATGAACCTCTTTAATGAACCTTTATAAGTGGAACACTTTGCAAGTGAAACAATTTTTAGAGTACCAAGAACAACTGCCTAAATGTTTAATGAACCTCTATAATGAACCTCTATAAGTGAAACACCTTACAAGTAGAACACTTTTTAGAGTACCAAGAACAACTGCCTTAATGTTTAATGAACCTCTTTAATGAACCTCTATAAGTGGAACACCTTGCAAGTGGAAGACTTTTTAGAGTACCAAGAACAACTGCCTAAATGTTTAATGAACCTCTTTAATGAACCTCTATAAGTGGAACACCTTGCAAGTGGAAGACTTTTTAGAGTACCAAGAACAACTGCCTAATGTTTAATGAACCTCTCTAATGAACCTCTATAAGTGGAACACTTTTTAGAGTACCAAGAACAACTACCTTGTGTTAAACAACTGCCTAAATGTTTAATGAACCTCTATAATGAACCTCTATAAGTGAAACACCTTACAAGTAGAACACTTTTTAGAGTACCAAGAACAACTGCCTAAATGTTTAATGAACCTCTTTAATGAACCTCTATAAGTGGAACACCTTGCAAGTGGAAGACTTTTTAGAGGTACCAAAGGTGTTCCACTTGGACAGATATTACTGTAGTAAACTTATCTTGTGTGAACACAACAGGGACTTATGTGAACATTTCTAAGATTAAAAGTGTTCACATTGAGGTGTTTACATTATTTAAAAGTTCTAATAATATCAGAGTTAATGGGACTTAAAATAAGACATTCACTCAAAAATGTCTGAGCCTGGTTACACATAATATTACAGAGCGAAACAAATCCATTCACAAATCCCCACTCCTTGGCACATGCAAATCAAATTTCTTACCCTCCCCGCATGGGCATTAGACACAGTATTAAAGAGCGAAACATTGTAGAAATATGCCTTATTCCATTTTCTTGAAAACATTTTCCATTAACCTCTTCTTGGATTTACTAAATTTTGATTATCTACCATACTCTCTCATACACTCTCTCAAAATATTCTCTCATATACAACTATAATTAACATATTAATTTACTCCTTGTGTTCATAATACAGCCTGAAGTAGCAAAATTGTATGTATATTGCAAACTTGGACTGTATGGCCACTGAATGACTTTCAAGTCAATCTGACAATCAATTCTCAAGTTAGCAATTTCAGGCCATCCAACTATCTCACAATTTGCGAAATAGTAAAATCTATAACCAATAAGTTCTGTATATTATGTAAAAATTGTATAAATGTTTCAATGTTAATAAATTAATTTTTTTTTTAAATCGCGTATTTGTCACGCATTTGCTAATTAATTGAAGACATGTCTGTTTTTTTGCGTGATAGAATATGTCAAGCAAATACATATTTTTCCAAATCATTGTCAAGCAAAAATGTTTCAGTTTACGCCAAAAAAATAAACACCGAAAAAAACGCACGCCGAAATACACGAACACAGTTGGTTCGGAAGTTTCACACAAATTGCGAATATGTCACGCATTTGCTTTGTTTTATCTCTCATCTTGTCACAATTTGAACATTCAACATTTATAAGTCACCCATTTTAGGTGTTCCCAGGTTGACAGGCCTGCAATTTGCCAAATTGAATGAGAATCAGATGTGAATGCAAAGTAATCCAACTCGCTGGAATTTGGGAATTTTCTAAAAAATTGGATGTGTGAATGCAAGACGAATCATTGAATATACTTTGTGAGTACTTGACAATACCTCTATTAGTAAAAGTGCAATCCTCTCTACTACATCCTCTAAATCTGACTGTATGTTTATTCTGACTACACAAAGCTGGTTTGATAGATGCCATTTTCTAATTTCCCAAACTTGCCTAAAAACATCTATTGCATTTTACCCTTTCCAATAGTTTGACTTTTCATCATTAAAAGAGAGCTTCATCTCCACTCTTTGAGTTGCAGTTAATCCTTAAATCTAGCCTTAAACCAATCACAGTACTTGAACTAAGAAAACATTCCATAAAAATCCAGCTATCCAATCAAAATGCATTCGCTGAACTTTATGCTGTCATAAGTACCTGCATTTATTTCACAATGAAACTCGTATTAAAGGCACTGACAGCTACTTTTGGGGTGATTCAGATCTTATAAGCAGATCTTCCAAGGGGAGTCACTTTGCAAAAGATTCCTGGGGGTTACATCTGACACCCACAGAACTTTATCCTTTCATAAGTACCTGGCATCCATTTCATAATGAAACTCCCATTAAAGGCACTGACAGCTACTTTTGGGATTATTTAGATATTTTGAGCATCCAAATTGTATGAGTATATATATATATTTCTCTTATTCAGAGCCTTACTAGGCTTTGACAGGGTGATTGCATTTATTTTAAGTAATCTGAGATCCCATGAGGGACACAACATAATATTTTGATAACATTTTGTTTAATCCATTCAACATAAGCCATTCAATATTTTATGTTTTTGTGCTGAGTAATTTATTAAAGTAAAAAAAAGATGATAATGCCATTCCTCAACTCACTAGAAAATAACATAATGTGCCTTTCAATCATAATAGAGGAAATGTTTTGGATTACTGAAACAACAGAACCAAATTGAAATCCTACATCTACATCATATACAGTACAGTGATCTACCAAGAATTTTTTCTCGAGTGGGTGCAAAATTCTCATTTTCACAATTCAGACGAAAATTGGTCAAAATATGCCCATTTTTCATGATTTTTCTCATTTTCAAGTGAGTGCAAATATATTTTCATGTGGGTGCAAGCCTGTTTTTAAAATTTCAGGTGGGTGCTGCACCCACTTGGTTGAATGTTGAGGAGATCACTGCAGTATGTAACAGATATAGTAAGGCATTAACACTACTGATCAAACGTATATTTATAATCTTACTTACCTAGTTCCAGTGTGCTTAGAGCTACACTTTCCCATTGAAGTATGACATTACACTGTCAATCAAGTAATCCTTAATAATTTTATATCCCTAAATTGTGATTCTGATCCATAAATATTTCTAGCCTTGTTCGCTGAAAAATTCCAATTTTCATATTCCAACCAAAAGCACACATATATGGAACATGATCCATTGATGCATATTAAGATTTAGGATGATAGCATTTGATCATTTTTCTGTATAGTCTATTAGTCTAATCATAGTCTAACCATAGTCTAATTTGGTTTTCATAGTCTTACCCCAGTCTGGTCTGATATCTCTATAGTGATTACTTTTTAAGTTTGAAAGACTCACAATTTTACTGCTTCAGACTGTCGTCAAGCTAATAGTCTAATCTAATTTTGGTCTGATGTGTGATCTTGTCAACTGTAAACTCGTCTAATTTGATTCCAACAGTCTAATTTGATGTCAATAATTCAATCTGAGTTCATCTTATCTGATTCGGACAGGCATTGCCCCTGGTCTAATCTAATATATGGTATATACATAGTCTAAACTCAGTCTAATTTGAATCCAATAGTCTAATTTGGCTTCCAGAGTTAAACCTGAGTTTATCTTATCTGATTCGAACAGGCGCTGCCCGTGGTCTAATATAATATCTGGTACATATAGTCTAAACTCAGTCTAATTTGATTCCAATAGTCTAATTTGATTCCAATAGTCTAATTTGGTTTCCAGAGTCCATCAGTTTTTCAGACTTACAAAAGTCTAGTGTCACTCTCAACTTATAAACCTTGTCTAAGTGTAGCCTTACCTATACCAACAGTCTGATTTGGTTGCCTATATATTCCCTCAAATATTAATACCATAACTGTGGTAACACATCCAATTCCATTAGTAGATTTGTTGTAGTGTTCAATGTCACACAACATACTCTGGAGTACATAACATATATATGAAATCTCTATGATTTATCCAAATGTAGTAGGGAATAATGAGTTATCTCTCTTACCAAATATATTTAAAGGCAGAATCAGATCACAATCAGATGACAACTAGTAATAACAATTTTTTTACTATTTTAGGCTCATATCATTCCTTGTAATGTCTATTTTCCCAAAAACTTCTAGTATATACTTTATTTGAGAAAATCTAAATATTTTTACAATAATGCTATCATGGTTGCAACCATTCTTATTATTAGGGAGAATTTAAACATTTTCCCCCCATTTTTGCACTTTGAATCCTTAATAACTTCACCAATTGATAATATATCATGGACGTTTTGGGAGATATTACATTTTAGATTGTAAGGAATAAATAGATTGGTAGGTCAAATGTACATGTTGCTTGTATTTTTGTCACTCTTTATGGATCTGATTCTGCCTTGAAGTAAAATGCCATTTAGAAACAACTACAATTATTTTCAATTCTATTAAATCTATGAATACACAATTACAGTATACTGTGTAATACAACAATGCATTAACATGCAAAACTAGAAAACGGCAACCCCACGGAGTAGCAAATCCCAACAAACAAATTTCCCTGTATATGTCTGATATTATATTTACCATTTACTCTTACCTTGATTTGCAGATAATAAGACAGAAGTATAACTAAATATAGCCATATTTTGAAGGGATTGGGAAATTTCTGTTCTTGCGAAATCCAACACTTGGCAGCCATTTTGAATTTTCTGAGGCACGAATCAGAAAAACAATATAATAATTGTGATCTACGCTAAATTTCCTTCAATTTGAGTATAATTTAGACAAACTTTGAACAGATCAGAAAATTATTGCATAATCACACATTAGGCAGCCATTTTGAATTTTTCGAGGCCGGAATCAGAAAACGGTACAATATAATTGCAATCTACTCTGAATTGCCTTTCATTTGAGTATAATAATGCTATACTTAAGAAAGATCTCAAAATGAACCCAAATTTCTGTTTTCCCGACCCCCAACAGTGCCCATGGGGGTCAGGGTGAAATGACAGAATATATGTGAAAAAGATAGATTTCAAACAAAAATATTTATAACTTTGGTTTAAAATGAAAAACATCAGATTCTCGCGAAAAATTTCCACCATGTAAAGCGGTGGCCATCTTGAAAAAATATTTTTTGCGTAAAAGTATTTACCAATTTACATCTCTCATTTACATTTCTACCAAATATGAAGAAAATCTGTCCACTAGTATTTGCGTTATCTTCTGGACGGATGTGCGGACGGACTGACAGATGGACGGACGGACGGACAGACAGACAGACAGAGGGCTTCACTATGTTAATTAAAGATGCTAGACTGACAAAAAAAGTTGGAGACTATAACAATATGTCAACACTTCTGGTGGTGACATATAATAATGTATACCATGTCTAAATCTTCTCTCCTGTGATCTTAAGTCTCTAAATAATAGAGTGCCTTGGAGCAATCTTCAAAATTCTAGAATTTATTGCACCGCATTAGACCTCTCACTCCCATCTGTTTCAAAACAGAATTAATCAAAAGTTTCATATTATGATAGCAAAAAATGTCAAAAGAGACAAAATAGATGTAGTATATATAAAGTGACTAGTAACATATTAGCTATATATATTAGTTAAGATTATAAGATGTATTAATAATGGAAACACTTCAAATGTATAATGCACGTGTCTTTTTATACATTTTTTATATATTCTCTGTATTCATATTGTTATAAATAAAAGTTTAGGCCATGTCCTGATGATCAGTGGCCATGCCAATAAATAAAAAATAAAATATATAATTCAAATTACAATGAATGACACAATGATCATATTACATGTAGTTATATCTAAAAAAACAAGCAGCATGAAAGCTCTAAATAGGTAGTACCGTACTTTCAAAAAAAATTGTGAAAATAATTTGGGAAATGTCATTTCAGCATAATTTTAACAAAATATCTTAATTCTGAATATGTATTCTATAATGATGCGTAAATATCCACACAAAATATTGAAAATACTACCTATTTCATTGAAGCATAGCATACACAGATTTTTCTTTAAAAATTGTATATTAAATTATAAAGTGACTGCCATGAACTATCAGAAAATCTAACTTACTTGCCTACCAGACAGTTATACCACTGGTGAAATAATGCCATTTTCTATATGAAACTCTAAGGCAGAATTGCAGAAAGGTTAGCAGGCATAAATCATATATCATAGCACCAACCAGGGAATCGTTGTCAATAGAATCAACGAAACTTTCTGTTATAGACCAAGATTTATCAGTTTTATATGCAAGTGTGTTCTACCAAAATGTTCTACCAAAATATTTATGACTCGATTTTGCAAGTCAGAGTATCAATTTTAATAACTAATCTAATGAAGACTGCCCTGAATGTATTTTAAACATTAAGGTCATATGTCCAATGAAAGATTCCTTATCAACCGAAAAACCTCCCCTAGTAATGAAATTAGCAATGTGAAAAAATGACATATTACACTTGGCTCAGTTTTAAACAAACTGGCCAAGTGTGTTCTGAATCAGATCAGACAGATTAGGATAAATCTAATAGATTGTTTATGAAAACTACTACTATATGTATAGCCAGAATCAAAAATAGTTTAGGCAAATGTAAAAAGGTGAGGCAGATTTACAGGTATGGCTAAAGGAGGTATATTTTTGGATTTTATTTCCATGCAGCCTTAATTGAAAAACATTGAAATAAATACATGTAGATCTGTAAAATTCTGGTGAGGCAGTCGCCTCGCCTGCCAGCCTCATGACTGTCTACCTCCCAAAACTAACTTTCCCCTAAATCAATCCCAAAGTATATCTCCCAATCATATATTTACCAAATATACAGTTCCTGTTAAACCCCAAGTTCATAATACCCTTTGCATTCGTTTGACTTCACTTCTTAAAAGAGAGCTTCGTCTGTAGTTTAACTAGACTCTGCTCACTGGGTAAGTTCATAATAGAGTCAAGTGCAGAACACTACTCTATTTTTGTTCATATTATCCCAGGGGCACTTTTCACTCACTTAGACTCTTATTTGTGTCTACTGTCCAATTATCTAGAGTTGTGAAAGAGCAAAATTGATTTTGTACGGGGAATGTGGTAAATGGAGATTTCATAAGCAGAGTGTTGATTTTTTGAATATCCAAGTGAAAGACAAATTAATATTTTAAAATTTTGTAATGTGAGGAGAGGAGGGGCAACCCGTAATAAAATTAACTTCATTTTTCTACAACTGTTGATAATTAAACTCCCGAGTTCTATTGATTTTCATATTTGTTTAAAAGGCCCGATATAAAGCAGGCCCGTAGTCAGGATTCGCCAAGGGGTGTTCACTTTTTGAAAAATTCTAGGGGGGTTCGCTCTAAACCATCGAACCCCCCCCCCCTGGCTACAGGCCCGTAGTTTAAACCACTTTGGCTTAATTTTTCATTATAATTTCAAAGACTTTTTATTCAGAAAAGTGGTTCAGAGAAGAAAGCATTTTAAAATTTTAGTTGTCATTGAATCCAATGGTACATAAAGTATTCATCCACGCTTTAAAACATTTTTGAGCAAAAATATGGCATTGAACAGGAATCACCTAAGTCAGATGAAATGTAAATTATTGATACATCTGATAAATCTGGCTTGCCTGATTGAACCCCAACACCATAACACATGCAAAACATACATCAAATCACTTCCCATGAGCCTTTGCATGAATCACATGACCTGACTTCACCAATCACAATAGGAGAAAATCAATGTTGATGCGGTTAAGCATTGGATAAAGTATGTGTATAAATGTTTTTGATTGAATCATTGAAGGATGACATCAATTCCATCTTACTGATTTCTCAATTACCTATAATGAGAATAAATCCAACTTTACCACTATAGTCTTTCATGGTGAATAAATTGTTAACACAAATAACTAGCACCCTTATGCAGATAAGTCACAACTCATTCAGAAAACAAACAAACAATCTACAAAAGCATTTGAGGAATGGCTTATTCAGTACACAACATATATTTATGATAAATGATGTCATAAAAATATTTTTCGAGGATACTAACTGTTTTCAAAGAATCAATAGGAAGGGTGACAAATGAACTTAAGTTCTGTCTTGTATGATCATTTGATAAATCCATTCAACTGGATGGCACCTAATGAAGAGGTCACGTCTCTGAGAGGTAGCTCAAGACCTGACACCAATTCAATTAGAACATTTCATTCCATAAATTGGATACTTACTAGCTATTTCTTCAGTCTAGTGGTTGCATAAATTGACTCGAACTATGATGTACTTCAGGTGAAGGGTCTTGTTTTGAGCACATATAAATGACAGGCCCATAGCCAGCTTTTGCAAAGTGGGGTTCACTTTTCAGAAAAATTCCAGGGAGGGTTTTTTGGTTTTTGTGATCTTCAAAGTCACAAAACTCAGTTATTTAAGGTCTCATGATATTTAACAGAAAATGACAAAACAGGATGCTTGATTTCAAACATTCTTTGAACAAGATATCAGAATTCTGTTTTGACCTCCAGTCAGTTTAACTTTTATTATTACGCCATAAATCATAAAATCTTGGTCTTTATTCCTTAATAATTTTTGACCAGGGGTTACCTGATCCCCCTGGCTACGGCCCCAAATGAGTTGTTGGTCAAACAAGAATCAATAAAAAAAAGTTTTAATTAAACTTTAAACAAGCCTGCCAGTCATTCTGGTTTGAAAATATTACCTTTTTATGTACAGTAAAACCTGTGTTTAATGAACATTGTAATATGATACGTGACGTCACAATTGCTAGAACAATTGATTTACTGGTCTATATTGGAGTATGTATGACCTCTAAAATTCAGAAATGCAAAAGGTTGTTTTTCTTCTCTGTTCATCATATTAGAATCGTAATAAAGACCTTGATTTTATGATTTATGGCAAATATATGACCTCAAATTTTATATTGGCCATTGCCAAAGACCTCAATCGCTACACGATATTTAGATCAGAATAAAGTTTTCAGTCATATATTACGCCATAAATCATAAAATCTTTTAAGTGGAAAACATCAAAAGTGAAAACATAATTTGAGGTAAGTGAAATAATAAGTGGAACACTTTTCAAAGTGGAAAACATCAAAAGTGGAACCATAATCTGAGGCACTTAAGAGGTATTTCACTTATACAGGTTATACTGTGTAGTTCGCTTACCTCTTCAATTCTAAATGCTTAACTTCCATCTTTCTCAGATACTATTGAAGATAAGTGTATACTGATTGAGTTGTATTCATCTTTAGAAAATCTAAGATCTTTTGAAGTGGACTGCAACTGGAAAAAAAATCAACATTGAAGTTGAGAATTTGGAGTCTCAAAAAATTTGGTCATGAGCTTGTCCTTATATCTCACTAGTTAATTGCCTTAACCTTCTTATTTTTAGTTTTCATCAAATTAAACTACTTTATAGTTGACGTTGTACTTTAATATTTGAACCAAATCAGGCTTAATTCATTCATATATCATGTGTGGGTGCCACAGTTCAACGATATCTTCCAACGCTAAAGGGAAGGTAACTGGAAATGTAAGATACGGTAATGATCATGTTAGTTTTCAATATGCTGTAACTGGAAATCTAAGCTCTCCATTATGAACCTTCATAACATTACCGCATCACCGCATATCAGTTATCTTATCATCTGTAAAACCAAAATGTGGAAGATATCATTGAATTGTGGTGCCTACGCATGATATATGAAAAATGATCATACTCCAGAGTTTCCATGTCATATGCGCCTGATATAGTTCAAATATTAAACCAATTACGTATATGTCAATGTTAACGTAGCTGAATTCAATGAAAACTAATAATATCTAAATTGACACTTACCATCCGCAAAATTAGATACAAAGATTACTGCTGTTAGCTTCGCTTGATAATGACCACTGATTTCTGCAATCAGGGACATGAAACTTAAATGTATTTGATAAATATGTCATAAAATTTTGTCTACAACTGGAGATGATGTTACTTTAACCCTATGCAAACTGAGACTGCAAAAAAACAATTGCTCAGAGCAGTCCATGACCAACAGGCATTTTTGAATTTGAATTGAATACAATATTTTTCAAATTATGCTGTGCTGGGTTTTCATCATATTTTGATTCATGAACTGAATTTTAGGATATGTTCAAATACTCCACAATCAATTCACACACTAAATCACTACGTTCTAGTGGATCTAGGTCCACGGCTAGGTGAAACAAGATGCAAATATGCACAATTTATATCCAACCAAATAAAGATGCCATATTCAACTGACCTTTCAATCTTCTTACAACATTTGCAAGTTTCTCAGCTCTTCTGTCTGACATCTGCTTGGCTCTGTCCAGTGCAGCAACTTGAACTGCAAACCCTTCCAGTTCCTCTTTCTGCACCACCTTGGGGGAGGGGGCTACATCTTGATTGACACTTTTCACACCCACTGGCAACTTGCCACTCCCACTTTCAATTTTAGCTCCTCCTACTTGTAGTTTCTTAATCCCCTTGTGTGAAGGGGAGGATAATGGAGATTTCCCAATGTTGCCAGAAATGGTCATTTTGGGAGAGGGATGTGGGGATTTTGATGTGTTATTCAACAACTTAGGTGATGATGTAAGGTTGCTAGGTACCCTTAGAGATCTAGGCAAGTTGCTAGGCAACCTAAGGGATCTTGGTGTGTTTCTAGGCAACCTAGAAGACAATACAGGTAAGTGAGGTCTGTGTGTGAAGAATTGTTGAATCTGTTCAAGCTCAAACTTCTTTTTCTTGTTAAACTGGCTATAAGTCTGAAAAAAATTATTGAACATAACTCAGTGTACATATAAATATATTCAAAAATATATTCCAGCACAAGTGCCGAAGGGCAATGAAAGTAGGCCAGGGTTCAAACCCCCCTCAGCTACAGACTATTTCATCCTCCTCTGCTTGCCAGTCTCTCTCAGCCACACACTCAGCTGATATGAGTTTACATCATAAAACTTTGATTTTGTGTGTTTATTATAGTCAAACCTGATTTCTGATCAAATATTTAAGTAATTGAAGAAATGTAGAGATTCATTGATGCCAGTCAACCTTAAAATTTTACCTTTTCTTCCAGTGCAGATTTATGGTTTTCCAAGTTAGAGTTTTCATAATGTAGTTTGTTGACAGTCTTCTCCAGTGCCTTCTTGCTTAGTTCCAGTGTCATTATAGTGCTTTTAAACTCTTCATTCTCACACTTAAGTTCTTTTAAACTTTCACTGAGTGCAGTTTGGCTAGAGAAAATAGAGTAAAAATGTGATTATTATGATATGTAAATAATAATATCATTGGTTCGATTTAAGGTGTTAGAGCAATTCCCCATTTGGTACCTTAACATTTGCTAATTGATTTTGTCGTTTAACAGCAAACATTTGAAGATTACATACAATGTATATAATCCATATTCAGTTTACAAGATTTAAACCAGACAACAGAAAAGCCAAAGCGTAGCAAATCCCATCAAACAGCCATGGTTGGCATATTTACAAACAAAGTATATAGCAAAAATGGCAGCCACTTTTCAACAAAATGGCCACCTTCTACCAAAAGTGTCATTAGACAACCAAATATGAACAAAATCACTCCACTTCTTTTCGAGTTACAGCAAAAATCGTAAAATAATGAGTGAATTAAGGCCGCCATTTTTCAAGATGGCTGCCATGTGCTTCTTTAATATCTACATTTCGAGCAGAACTTCTTCCTACATAGGGGATATGTGTGCAAAATATTTACAAAATTGGGCCAACGGTATTTGAGTTATTGCCCGGACGGACGGACGGAGGCATTCCCTATATCCCTCTGAACTTAGTTCGATCGGATCTGAAATTTTTATATTACTTTTAAAGATTGTAAATATGTTGTCACCTTGTTTATGTTTATGTTTTATGTTTATTGTATTAATCAAACAATATAATTAGTTTATATGAAATCCGATTTGAAATCGGGAATAAAAGATACATACATAAGTGAGCTCTTTTATTATTTGGGTAGGGGTGGTATGTGGTAGGATCAATGTTTTGATGTTAGCAAGGATCTACAGTAGCTTCAAAAGATAGTTGTACTTTCTTGTTTTAACAATGGGCATTCAATAGAACCCCATGTTTTAACTCTTAAATTGGGCCAATCATTTAATTTGAAGACTAACATTGCCATTTCGTTCAGTGTGTCAGCGGTTATTGACATGATTTAGGATTTGATTTTAGATATTATTTATGCCTAATCATCGACAACGTACAGTGACAAAATATATCATTGTACACTTTAGATGTAGGGTGTCACTATTGACCTATTTGAAGCAAAGACAATGATGTAGCTTTGATGTAGGTTTTAAAAAAATTGATCCGAGGAATACATTTAGGATTTTATGTTTGATTTTATGTTTATTCGTTTAGGAAGACATTTAACTTTCTAATAATGTTAAAACATTTTCGAACAGTGGTCAATTTTTTCGTGGTCTATCTACCCATATAATTGGTCGGTTGGAAAATGTTGTTTTTACACATTTCTTTTGATAATTTCCTCCCCTGAGGTCTAAGAGTGTCGAATATTTTTATGAGAATATGTTTCTTTTACCTACACAATTAAGGTCTGTTGAAGATTTAATAAGTATTAACGTTTTGGCTATAATTTAAAATCATAACGTAAGGTACAGATACCAAATACTGTAGATTGGGTTAATTTGGAGCCCGCTTTAGTTTGACGAAATTGAAAAATTCGCCAATATAAATCTTCGCCAAAATTTAGAATGAATCCCCTGGAATTATCTAGGGTATTTCGTCCAGTGTATTTAGGTCACTTCCGGTTTAGTTTTTCCAAAAATATGAAAAAATGTCTCTCATAAATTGGCTCAGAACTGGTCAGTCACTCATTAATACTCAGGGAAAAACTAGAAGGGAAAAGCGCGGTATAGTAGCAGCATCGATCGAGGTGCAAAATGTAAAGACACAACAATACAATACAAAAAAAATTCAAGCACTGTTCGAAAATCTTTAAACAATTAATTATGGTTAATAATGACACCTTATATCTAAATTGTACAATGGCGTATTTTGTCACTGTACGTTGTCGATGGTTAGGTGTGTTATTGTTCAATCTGAATGACTTTTTTTCAAATCTGCCTTTAATATTTTTGTAATGATACATCAGTTTAAGGTCACAGGGGGATATAAGATGGTGTGTATTTAAGAAATATAGACCGAAGAGCAGATGTTATATCGACTAATCACGAATACATACCACAGGGCTATGCACACACGTATTCTGTACCCCGAATAACTGAAGGGAGTGAGGCCGGCCAGAGGCCGTGGTTAGAATTGTGAAGGTATCGTTGACCTGCTCTGCTGAGGTCTTAAATATTAATATTCGAACATAAAAACTCACCAATATTTTTCAAATATTCATTATTGCCCACCATTACTAGAATACTGTCCGACATTATGATGTCACACATTACTGGTCAGTGTTGACTACCCCCATAGATGTGGGGTTATTTTGAGGTTTTTTTATATTTAGGACATTTGTTTCTCAAAATAACCCCACACCGATTAGTACTTTGATTCTTTGGGGATTTGCTAAACAATAGCATACACATAGAATTTGTACTAATATTATTAGAATTTACTCACCTTTTTAAGTTTTTCGTATCGACAAGACATTAATCTTCAACATGCTTCCAAATATAGCCCTCTAAGTGTTGTATTCATTCTTGTAATGAAGATTTAATACGGATAATAGATATTTCTAAAAAAGTTTTTCAAATTTCATGCGCAGTCGATATTTTTTATCTAAATGACAAACTTCGTGTAAATACGAAATCCAAAAGTAAAAATGGAGGGAAATTTTGAAAAATGATTTTCAACCTCAAGTCTGGCTGCTGTACCATCTACGGCCTTTGTTTTCCTGAACTTAGGCATAAGCAATAATTTTGTTATTAATTTGACAGGTGATTTCGTTTGGCACTGTTAAGTTTCCCATCTACCACATAATTCCTCCCAGAATGCAACGCGCGAAAATGGCCAAAATTTGAATAGATTTCGGGAGTCAAATATTACAGCAAATTGTTCCAGTTATAAAGTATTGTTTCCACTGATCGATCGATCATTACATTGGAAAAAGAATCCTCTTCACAGAAGAGAAGAAAAAAGGTAAGGAAACTGCCGATATTGTCAGAACTTGAATCTTCGAATCATGTGAAAAAAAACGCAAAGAATCAAAGCCTAAACTTTGTGGGGTTATTTTGAGAAACAAATGTCCTAAATATAAAAAAAACTCAAAATAACCCCACATTTATGGGGGTAGTGTTGACGAAATACATAACGGGTGAAACATTGACTTTTTCACATTTTATAGAAGGCGTGAATTCTCAACTTCTCAGATATATAAATAAAGGCCCAGAGGTGCATTAATGCACCTAGGCGCTAGGACTAGAAAACTGAAAAGTGCTGATGATTTTTAATTTCAATAAAAGGAAAAAAATCTTCATATTTTCACAGCGGGTTTCTCAAGTATTTGATGTCAAAATACCTGAAATGTAGTGAAATTTATGAAGTTTTATACTTACTCTAATAAGTATTGACACCCTTTATACAAATATGCCGATATAAAGCAATTGAAGTAATAAAACTAACAGTACAACTTTTGAAACAATTTTGGGTTTCAAACGTTTGCAGTCAATTAACGAACGTCAAAAACTACTCGCAAAGTCGAACGTCTCAATTTTATGCTTTAACAAGAGGGTCTACCTGGCCACTAGATGGGGGAGGGTTCTTCCAGAATAATTTAATTTGCACAATTTTGAGCACTTGTTATTATGTTACACCAGCGTCTCTTACTAAAACCAAACGTCTAAATTCCAACATCAGACAATTTGCCGATGGCTGTCTCCGATCGGTACAGCCGTTGGAGATAGGGCTTACATAGCCAAACCTGAGGGGTCATTCATCAAGCTATCGCAATCACTGCGACGTCGCAGACACTGCGACCACCGTGCGTGGTCGCAGTACTGCGACTGCGACCTATTCATTAACAAATCGCAGTCTGCGATGTCCATGCGACCAGTCGCAGTGATTACCACGTGGACGTGCTTGTACACTGTGTTAGTTATCCTTTCGAGAACCTCTTGTATCATTTCGTAAACTTTTATAATAGTTAACCCTACGCATGTGACATCGCAAAATAAGGTCCACAATATCGTCTATTTGAAGAGGATCTGTACAATCTCTAAGTACGCGTTCTCTACGCAGAGCATTACGGTTGAAATCAACCATCAGTTGCGCCATTTCGAACGAATAAACGCTTCCAACAGACGCTTAACGTGTCATGCAAGATTGACAATATGGATACTGAGTGGGCACAGCCACGTGGGTCAAAACCCAAAACCACGTGTAACGCACAATCACTGCGACCGGTCGCACGGTGAAGTACTTGAAAATACAAGCTGAAAACTAGCTGTTTTTGGTAGCATCACAAACGTGTTAAACATAATGCATATGCTCTGCAATTTTAATATAACATGGATCGAATATCGAACTATACGTCCTAGAATTTCTATATAATTTCATAAAGAAATTCAACTAATTTAAGACATTTTTCGTGAACTAAAATCACTGCGACTGGGTACCACCGGTCGCTTAAATTTGGGCCATTTTAGGGGTATTTCATTGCGACGTCGCAGAAAATTCTACCGATCGCAGTCGCACGAGATTGATGAATAGGACGTAATCGCTAAAAAGGGCCCTTGCGACATCGCAGGCTTGCGACGTGCTTGCGATAGCTTGATGAATGACCCCTCTGTCTGGCCCAGTTATCTACTCCTGACGTCGTAGATCTACGACTTCGGGAGTAGATAACTGGTTAGGGCTTACCATATCCTATGGCCACTGAGAATTGGCTAGAGACTCGAGTAAGGCTAAACAAAGCTACGGACAGCCAAAGCTTGCAACAAGACCTCCACAGACTTACATTGTAAAACCTGGCAAGCCCGAGTGGCAGATGCGATTCAATGCCAAAAAGTGTCATGTCCTTACCCTGCGTGCAGAGTCTAGTTAAACTACAGACGAAGCTCTCTTTTAAGAAGTGAAGTCAAACGCATGCAAAGGGTATCATGTCCTCCGCATTAGTCGCAGACGCAAGAACATCATCACTGACTACACCCTCTGTAACACCATCCTCTCTGAAGTACCCTCCCACCCATACCTAGGCTTGACCATCTGCAATGACCTCAGGTGGAATGAACAACCTGGGAATGCAGTCTCTAAAGCCACCAGAGCAATTTGAGTCGTGCGTCGCAACCTCCGAGGGTGCCTCACGTCCCTCGGGCCTAAGGGGACATGGGGCAAAACGGCCCTAAAAATTAATTTTAAGGCTCAGCTGGAAAGTAACATTTTGGTAAAAAAATGCTATACCTGGACATGTTATTTTCTGGTACAAAATTAAGTATGGAGGCATGTGTGTATTTCCTTGCTTTTTTCAGGAAAGTATCATTACATTGTCTACTTTTAGTAAACCTGGAAACAGGTCAATGGTAGCTCCTGTGTTGTCTGGAAACTTTGAAAATTTGGAAAAATAGAAAGTATGAAATATCAGAATTTCCTGGAGTTCCCATTGAACACCTACCAGATATTCTAAAAGAAGACAATGTAATGATACTTTCCTGAAAAAATAAGGAAATACAATACACACATGTCTTCATACTTTATTTTGTACCAGAAAATAACATGTGCAGGTATAGCAATTTTTACCAAAATGTTATTTTCCAGCTGTAGCCCTACCTTAAGTTGTTCCGTTCGGGGTATTTTCTTATCTGTCAATCTTCGCACACTTTGATGTTCCACTTTATTAATGGGTTGTCACTGGCGGATATGGGGGCCCCGGGCCCCCCCCCCCCCCCCCTTAGGTGGGCCCAGAAAAAAAAAATTGTGCCCAAAAAAAATTTTGAGGCTTTAAGGCCCCAAAAAGTAGGCCTTTTTGGTCATAAATTGGCCTTGTAAGGCCTTATTTGTTAATTTTAGGTCAAATTTTGAAGAAAATGGGCCTCAAAATTTCAAAATTTGGGCCCACTTTTGGGTTTATGGGGCCCAAAATTTTTTTACGCGCAAGCGCGGAAGTTTTTTTCTCAGACCACAACTTTGGGCCCCCCCCCTTGTTGGTTCCCAGATCCGCCCCTGGTTGTGGTTTACATTTTTCGAGTGTTTTATACCTGCCTAGGACTATCTTCTGTGATTTTTCAATGGCCAAAATTAATGTCGAGAGTGGGGCAAAACGGCCCATTGGTGGGGCAAAACGGCCCACCCTCTGTTACACGGGTTTTAAAACCAAATTACAAGACCCATCCACACACATCTTTTCTCAGACGTTCAAACCTTTGACAAATAAAGTATTCTTAACCCCTATACCATAATTCTAATCATTCAATATGTGTCGGAAGGAAATAAGGTGCAAACCAAATGTTAAAATTGTTATATTTGAAACTGATCAATTATTCTTGTACAATTTTTGTATGTTACAACCTTTGTGGGCCGTTTTGCCCCAAAGACATGTGAATTTTCAAATAGACGTCATTTTAATTTGCCTAATATTTGAAGCTGGAATTTTTTACAAATAAAGAATAAATATGCATACTCTAGACACTACATGAAGCAATTGGTGTCATCAAGTTTATTCCATTTAACAATGGTCCTCGTATTTGAGTATGTCAGTGTTTTAATTAAGAGTATATGGTGAAGGGGATGAGGAAATCTACCCTGTCATTTACTATTTTGTACATAAGGGAAAGTCTGCTATTACTATTAGGGGGAGGGCCCGGGGATGGGGCTGTTTGACAGTTTTGACTGAAAAATCATGCGAAAAGTGCCCAGAATGTTGAAAAACAGCTTGATTTTGAAAGATTTTCGGGCCATGCCTTCCCCAGCTCCCCTCCCCCTGGCTACGGGCCTGCTATGGGCCTGGAATGACCATTCAATGACATTGATATATATGATGAAATAACTTTTTCATCCCCCTGAAAATGTGACTGAAGAATTAAGGTAGGACCTTAGGAAAGGTCACTGAAAATGTGCCAAATATATTGCTTTAATGATACGAGCTTTGAAATTTTAGAAAATTGTCTGAAACAAAAATGGCTGTCATAAAAATGAAAATAGATCGCTTTTCAATTCATTTTTTTCTAGGAATGATATCAAAACTGTTCAAACCCCATGGCCGACTACTTTCTTTGTTTCTCAACTGTATTCACACGTACTTATTTAAATGCAAAACGGTACTTTCCAAGTGATAAGCTTGTTGCTTATGTTGCCTATTACAAAAAATGTACAGCTTTATATATACATTAACACGTATTTTTGGATAAACATTTAAAAGAAAAAATGATTTGAATAATAGATTTTCAACAAATACAGATATGTATCATTTTTTTTTTTTTTTTTTTTTTTTTTTTTTTTATTTCTCTATTCAAACAGTACAAGTACAATAATTAGAACAGTTCAGATATTTTTCACACCACCTCCATTCATTCAGACATTTGCAACAGTCATACTTTTAAGTTCAGGTACATAATAAAACATATTTTTTTCAAATTGCGCCTCATACAAATTGGGATTCACTTCGTCGAACTCTTTAATAAAAATATAGTACTTAATTGCAAGGGTAAGTCTATTTGGTAAGATATTTTTCTTATTAGCTTGCCTTCCAAAAACCATGTCATGGGCGTTAAAATCGAAATCAACCTTAAATAAACGCTTTAAATTCCCTTTGATTGCTTCCAGAAATATTTGAATTCTTTTGCACTCCCAGAATTTGTGTTTTAACGTATCTCGAAAGGCACAATAGTTACAGTTAGAGTCATTTTTAATGCCTATCTGCGCTAAAAAGGCATTTGTAGCGCAGATACCATGAAGTATTTTAAACTGAAGTTGTCGCGTTTTATTCTGTTTCGTACACATATAAGGCATTTTAAAATAATCGGTTCTCTTTAATTCACGATCATGTTTGTCTTTATATAACGGTTCCAAGAACTTGGTTCCATTTAATATTGTTTGAATTGATTTAACCGTTATACTAGAGATTGTCACCTGTTTTTCACCAAGTTTCAAATACACGAGTTCTTCCTGTATGCTGGGTTCAAAGGTCGAACTTAAATCTGATTTCAATAGAAATTTCCAATCATTTGGTATAGCCGATATGATTGAAAAATACTCAAGAAAGTTGATATTAATATTATACTTAGTCTTAAACTCATTGTACTGTAAAAACTGTAAATCTAATGTTGGATATGTCCTGAACAGTCGTAGGATATATGAAGGATAGTATACTATCGTGGTGAGTGAAAAAATTGATTTATACGAACTGCACGTACACCAGTCCTTTGTGTAAGAGATCTGCCCATAATAAATCAGTCATGCCGGGTAAAGCCAAAAAGGCTCGTGCACGTAATACCACTAGGCACACTAGATCAAGTTCAGAAATGTCAAATGATGAGGGAAAGGTTTGTGATACTGAAGAGACTGATAGTGAGGAGACAGCATGTGCCACGCCCAAAGGGAATCCTGTAGTAACAGATAATGTCAATATTAGTGAAGAAGGACGGATCCTTATTGATCGTATGGAATGCTTGAGTAGAGAAATCACGAAACAAAACTCGGAATTTCATGATGAAATGAATGTATTGAGAGATGATATTCGAAAAAACACAAATGACATGAAAAATGCATTTAAGGAGGAAATAAGTGAACTGAAGAGTGGTATCACCTATGCCCAGGAAGTCAGTGAGGAGAACAAGATCAAAGTAGAGGAACACGAAGAATGTCTTAAGGATATTCAAATTCAATCATCTTCCATGTCTACTGCTATAAAGAATATGTCATATCAATATAACAAAATGTATGATGAACTGAACACTAAACTTCTGGATATGAATGTGTACTCTCGTAGAAGTGCACTCCACTTTCAGAACATTCCTGAGGAGGATGGCGAGAATCCAGGAGACGTAATGAAGCACTTCTTTGTCAATAGACTTAAGATGTCGAAGGATGAGGTGCAAAATATTCGCTTCGAGCGTGTACATCGAATCCCACTTGGTCCTAAAGAAAAGTACAGATTCACTAGAACAATAACCGTGAAATTCAACTGGTACCAGGATAGAGAGACAGTGTGGGGAAAACGTTTTAGTCTTAAAGGATCAAATATATACGTTACTGAGAGCTTTCCAAAGGAAGTTGAGGATAACAGACGCCTGTTGATGCCATATTTCAAAAAGGCCAAGGAACTAAAATGGAAATGTGCCATGATCGCAGACACCCTTATAGTGAAAGATGAGCGATATAAGATTGGAGACATACAAAAATTACCAATGGAACTTTTGAATGACAACCCATCAATGCGAGATTTGGACACGGTATTTTTGTACAATTCGTCCACATCCCCCCTTGGCCCAGATAGCTGCACACCCTTTGAATGCGACGGCACGATGTTCCGTAGTGTGACGCAATACCTAGCCTATAATAGAGCTATCACTGGGCGAAGTGACCAAATATAAACAATTTTAATCACAAATAATCAGTGAATAAATGATTATTATCTGGTTAAAACCTATTATCGAGACTATTATTGCTGGTTATCGCTGATTATCGAGACTTATTAATCAAAAATAACCAGTGTTTTCACTGGTTATTACAATAATCAATTCTTATTAATGTGTAGCCAATGGCAAAAATTCCAACTGATTATTATGTCAAGTGATTATTCCCTCAACTGATTATCGCTTTGTTTTCATTAGCAATTAAGAACCGTCTGCCATTTATGCGTCTAGCGCTTCCAATTATTATCCGTTGAATAAACAAACTATAGCTTTTGTCCAGCTAAAGAATATGAGTTTTTGCAAAATTGAATTTTTCATTCAAATATCTTTTTTTTAATTCATTATCAACCAAACAAAAAATAAAAGAAACACATTTTTAGAATTTCATTTAATGTTAGATTTTATTTAGCTGTCCAACTTCAATTACCAGGATTCGAGATTTTTCATTAGCAATTATAATGCAGCAGATTCCTGCAATTCAATCAATAGTTTATACTAATTAGTAGTAATTAAAGGATATCACCAAGAAAATATTTTATCATCGTGTAGAAAGTCCAATCCAAAATCTGGTTAATGTGTTGCATTTATAGAAGCAATAACGTTGTGATACCACTGTAAAACTATAATTAAAATGTTTGATATGAAATTCGATTGTCGGGAATAAGAAATACAGATCAATACTTTTACATAATATCCAGTGTATTGAAATAAGATGTTATAACAAAGGCAATTGAAAAACTTCAATCTCAATGAAACTAGTAGTGAAACTCCCTAAATCTGTTAAAGGGAAGCCTTCATTCAAGCACTGAAAATTAAGTTTAAGAGGAAGAATTCAGTATCCCGTGTGTTCACTACCCCCTCCCATCCCCAATCATTTAACTACATGCAGCTCCAATGTGTTTCATTTCTGTGTTTAATAAATGCAATCAATATGATAGTTCTATATTACTCATTATTACCGTAGAGCAAATGTGCGCAAGGTTAAATTTTAATCTTATTGAATTATGTTAATTAGTTGCTTGGATGGTAGATTGTTTGTTTGCTTGTTTATTAGCACGATTGATTGCTTGATTGGCCGTTTACTTGCTAACATTCTTTCTTTGTTGCTTTGCTACTTCCTTGGTTTCTTGCATTAGAGTTTAATTAGCTACTTGCTTGGTTGGTTTGTCGGTTGTTTGCTTGCTTTATTTTTAAGTTGCATGGTTTGCTTTTTTACTTGCTTAGTTTCCTGCTTGCTTGGATGGTCGTTTGCTTGGTTGCTTGGTTGGTTACTTGCGTGGTTGGTTGCCGAGTTATTGCTTTGAAACTTTCTAAATATCCATGGGTGTAGCCAAGGAGGATGGGGGGGGGTTGCGAAAACCAATAAAGATTAAAAACCATGAGAAAGAGGACTCAAAGAGCTTTTAAATGCTTTTTATTTGAAGCTTCTAGCTCACTTTGGAAGGAACTTGCATCCAGTTTTTGTAAAATTCAATATAAAAATCATTTTTGGCTTGTTTATGTCATAATCGCACCCCCTTGTTTATGTCACAATCACCCCCCCCCCCCCGACTGAAAACCGAAATATTTTTGGCAATCACACTCCCCCCTGACTGAAAGTAGGCTACGCCCCATGATATCTGTTATTGTGTTATAACAATAAACTATATTTATATTGTGAGCATTTATGGGTTTTGATAACACTAGGCTTTATTAATATTGTATCATGTTGGCTAAATCGTTTCAAGTGAAGAATTAAGAACTGTAATCGGGGTTTGCTTAGTTTGAGCAAGGGAACAAAATGTAATCAGACGGACGTATTAATTAATATTTGTTTTGATAAATGAGTAGTATAGCTTATTGGCAGTATCATGGGAACCAAGTAATCGTGTATAGGATTATTTTTTGTTTACTTCAGAATTGAGTGAACCATCTGTAGTTTTAAAAACAAGGATCAATAAATACATCGGATCAAGATCAAATATTAGAAATCTATTTTTGACTGGACAAATTCTTGTTCTCGAATGTCAAACAGAACCTTCATTATCTTTATTCATTTTGAACTTTGATTTGAACTTTGATTTGAATTATTTCAATCAAACGTGTGTTGATGCTCCGAGCTAATACTATTAATTGAAAAAATGTTGCAATAGGGGGGGGGGGCATTATTGTCTTTATTACATTACTTTTGTACATTATTACATACACAGTAAACGCGACCCGATCGGGGAGGGGATTCGGGTTGTGCACAGTGCACAATTTGTTATCTCTTTATGCATGTTTTATTGCCAAATTAATATAAAAACAAGCTGGAGAAACATAAGTATTTATTTTGTATTTTGTTACCACACGTCAAAAGGCGCATTTGAAGTTCAGAAAATGTAAGAAGACTTGGCTAGACATTATGTACTTATATATTTATATGTTACGTATTTATTTTGTATTCAATTCGAATTCTGTTCACTCGCACTCCTTGAACCACCCCCACCCCTTGGCTACGGGTATAAGTACTTTCGGCACACGGAGAGAATAACATTAGACTTCTGCAATGCAACTACATGTAATAAGAGAAACCTAAAATGAAAATAATGTAATGTAAGAATATACAATTGTAGCCCATCACAAAGTTCATTTATTTCATAAAAGCGTCAAGGGACAATGCCTCTAAACACTAAGATAAACAAATTAACTTCCGTAGAAACATCCTGTTGTGGAAAAGACAAATGGCTTTTCATAACGGATTAAAATAGCCAGTCTGTCTAATTGTATAATATATTAGATACATTTTAAATTCCTTTATACTTCTTATCACAGACAGGTTGATCATTTTATTTAGACAAGAGATTGTATTCCAGCAGTGTCATTTGTAATTAGCCCTTTGAAGTTTAATCAATCACGATAATCAGTTGGTCGGTTATTCAGTAAAGAAAAAAGTGATTATCGCCAGGCCATGCCTGTTGCCATTGTATCTAGCCTTTAAAAGTTATAATTAGGTCAGGATCAGACTGTGTCTGGTTATTAATGATTATTCTAAAAAATTAATCGCTGATTATTATGTGTTAATTCCAACCTGTTTGTCTAGTGTATCGTAATGAAGGATCAGCGTACTGCAGACAAGGTGCTACAATCATCTGACCCCAGACAAATCAGAAGGCTTATATCTGAAATCAGAGGAAGTGATGGCCAATCATGGAGAAAAGTAAGTGACAGCCATGTGATAAAAGCTACGGCTATTAAATTCAGTGTGCACAAGCAAATCAGAGCTCTTTTAATGAGAACTGGGTCCAAAACCATAGGAGAGTGTAACCCACATGATATGATTATGGGCACAGGATGTAGTTTAAATGATAAAACTGCTAGTGACACAAGTGCCTGGAGAGGTCAAAATCTTGGTGGCAACGCTCTCATGGAAACGAGAAACCATATCAGGAAGGTTGACAAGGCATAACACAAGCACATAGCAATATATACAATATACAGTGATACATTGAACCAGGATAGTGCGAGCATTAGTTGGTGCATCTATCCCACGAGCAAAGTGCGATATGCCGAGTTTTTTACAAAAATTCTTTGATCATTATAGGAACAAAATACGAGCACTACAGATTTCACAAACAAAATGTTGTTATTGTTTTGATAGCGCACTGACGTCCGCGCGATGGCAAAATCTATACACAGTAGATCAGTTATGCTGAAATCGACCGCTGTAATGCTCGTATAATGTGCTCTATAAACCACTAAATGGTATGTATAATCACGGGATGTCATCGCCTGATTTGGTCAATGTTAGGGAGCAGGTCGTTTTTACAATAAATTTCAATATTTTCACACAAAATATTTTTTTACTGAAAAACTGCTTATTCGCAGAGAAAATGTACTAGCACATGCAATGACAATGTCAATCACGCTTCTGTACGAAATTCGGCGGAAGTCTTTTATAATCTAATACGAAGTTACTAAAAAAGGCGCGAACGCCCTACACTCAAAATGATCGTTTTTCCATTATAACTTTTTAACGTAATTTAACGAAGGCTTCTAATTATTATCCAAGATAGTCTAAATACCGATTAAAATATTTCTTACTTCAAACAGATACGCCGTCTTTTATTCAATTTTTTAAAAAATAATAAAAAATAACTCTTGTCAATGTTAGGGAGCAGTCAATGTTAGGGAGCAAAATGATTTTATCAGAATATTAAAAATGTAGGAAATGGCCATTTAAAATATGTATGGCATTTATAAACTAAACAATATTGTTTGAATGATTATTTTAAACCCCTTGCCTTAACAAAATTTAACAAAATCGATAAAAAAAATTGTTTTGCATTTTTGTTATCTTCAGAAAATGGACTCTCAAAGATTTTTGACGAAGGAAAGTTAATTATTATCATGGATAATCTCAGTACTTATTGAAATATTTCTTACTTCAAACAGGTACACCTTTCTTTAATTTTTTTTAAATAATAAAAAATAAGTATGATCAATGTGGCGGAGCAAACAATGCAGTGGGGCGAAATGGTTTTATCAGAATATCAGAGTAATGGGGCAAGATTATATGCAAGTTGGGGCAAAATCCGAAGAGTCCCATTGATTCCCACGGACTTCATGGGGCAAAATCCCAAAAGGTCCCACTAGGTCCCACGCCATGTTAAGTCTATGGAGGTCCCAACTTGTCCCATTGGTGTATACCGGGCTTTAGAGTATCATTAGCAAGTGGTACACATATAACAGAGATCGGTTATATACTGCATTGTCTGAGTATTGACAAATTGAAGTATACGTGTAAAAATCTACTATCATACATGTAACTGCGCAATGAGCCCTTCATAGCGTTTGTGCCAGCTATCAGGTGATACCCGGTCGTAAAGATAAGTGTGAGACTAACTCTCTTACTTTAATACTAGGAAAATATCAAATCATAGAACTGAAGGATGTCGGAGATTTCTCAAGCCTATATATCAGTTCAGATAATTTATCATCCACAATTTAGGATTGTGAACTGATGACATCATCAAAAAGTGTATATAACGATACATCCATTCATTTACAGTTAGAGGTCAACGAATAAAGCTAAAGAAGGAATGGTTCGCATCTAAATATTTCTAAAACGAACGTAAACAGGATTTAGCTGAAAATAAAAAATGCAAAATAACCTTTTCAATGATTTTCTTACAATTTTAACGCTTTCCTCCCCAAAGGGTATCAAATAATCATACAAACAAAATTGTTCAGTTTATAAATGCCATACATATTTTAAATGGCCATTTGCTACATTTTTAATATTCTGATAAAATCATTTTGCTCCCTAACATTGACTGCTCCCTAACATTGACAAGAGTTATTTTTTATTATTTTTTAAAAAATTGAATAAAAGACGGCGTATCTGTTTGAAGTAAGAAATATTTTAATCGGTATTTAGACTATCTTGGATAATAATTAGAAGCCTTCGTTAAATTACGTTAAAAAGTTATAATGGAAAAACGATCATTTTGAGTGTAGGGCGTTCGCGCCTTTTTTAGTAACTTCGTATTAGATTATAAAAGACTTCCGCCGAATTTCGTACAGAAGCGTGATTGACATTGTCATTGCATGTGCTAGTACATTTTCTCTGCGAATGAGCAGTTTTTCAGTAAAAAAATATTTTGTGTGAAAATATTGAAATTTATTGTAAAAACGACCTGCTCCCTAACATTGACCAAATCAGGCGATGACATCCCGTGATAATGCGTGTAGATTTTTTAAGCGGTCAAAAGTAAGCGAATGGAGTGCTTTGGAAATGCAAAAATCAAGTTGTATATATGTTTGGTTAGCGCTTGAAACTTGGCTTTTGGCCAAGCTGGATTACTCGTACTGTAAATTATGTTACATTAGCAAGCGCCTGAAAAGTGTAAACTTTTGCTTCTTTTATTTATTATCAAGTGTTTTATATATGGGAAATGAAGTTATGAATGTAAAGTATGAATGGAATGAAAGCTGGATGAATGTTATGTTGGTTTGGACAAATTATTTGTTAGAAATTGAATATTTTATATGCCTCGAATTATATGTGCAAGGACTATTGGATAATTGTATTGTATTTTACTCAAAGCTTATAGTGTGCTGCTACTAAAGCACACTACCCTACCACGTGACCACGTTTAAAATGGAAACAGGGTACAGCTAAGTTGCAAATGGAGGACGTTGGTTTAATTCGATATTTCTGAACGTAAAATACATTTTACATTTATTTTTAGTGTTCTACCAGACATAGAATTGATTCATCAAGCAGTTTGTAGAATATTGTTGGCAAAAAAACACTATAGGCAAAGATAGATAATAGTGGACGCAGTGAAGCAAAACTCAATGCAATACACGATACATTTCAGTAAATCTGTCAACGTACAGGGAGCATGTAAGTTTCCCTTCGAAAATGTTACATTGATATGTAGCAAAACCCCAGTAAAGTCTTATTTAAACTGCGTGTCATCGTGTTATATGTGGATACGTTTTCCAGTATGTTATTCAACTGTACTTTTGTGAATTAATTGTTTTTCTAAAATCTTAAGATGCAAAAAAGTCGTCCCAGAAATGTATCTTTACTTTGCCGTAAGGCATAACATATTGTGAAACATTTTTCCTCTTGTCACAAGGAGGATAATGTTTGTTTCGAGGTGTCTTGTGATGAGCGTTTCATGATTAAATGCAAAATCACTGGAGCAGATACCATCCAAAAACATCTGACATTCAACACGTCATATAAGACTACATCGATCTGGTATTAGTTTTTTTACAATAATAGAGAAATACGACGTCATATCACCTCTACAGCAAATCGTGAAGAACAAAATGTCGTGACATGATGGTATTTTGAACAAACTATTTTAAATGATCGGTTTTTGAGGACGGTAGTGAATTAGACCATTCAAGGGGTTATATAGAAAGATTCTTTCCATGTAGTTCACGCAATTTTAATTATTCTGAATAGCGGATAGTCATTAATCCTGATAGCCGATAGTCATTTATCACTTACGTGTTTATATTTAATTTCCTTATTTTATTTCAATTTGATACCCTAGTAACACGTATAATCTAGCGTTCTTGTTAATTTAATGACTAAAATGCATATACGACCTGAAAGCCCGTGTCTAAATATACTAAATAATGTTTACTTTATTTGGATTAAATAACAATTGATGACACCTCAAAGCATCAAAAGGCGGTCTTTTTAGCATTATTTTCACTGTTTGCAACGTAAATATACATGAGATCAGGACATAGTATGTCTGTATAATCAGCTTACTTTCTCGCTCCCTGTACTATTGAACAATTTACATTCCTTGTACCCTGTATTGATCAACTTTTGCAGCTGTGTACCGTGTACTATGACATATCAAATATCTTAAAATTTAAAACGATATTATTTACATTCTTTCTTCAACTATCATATAACTTGGAACATGGACTTCACTATTGCACCACTGAAGTTCAGCGAATAGCAATATTGACTCACTCCGAGCACCAAACGTATTAACCTTTTCACTAAGCAGTCGATATACTCAAAAGCGACCTGATTGAAAGCCAAAAAATTCGCGCATGCGCTATCGAGGTAGGGTAGTGTGTAAAGGTCCAAACACAAATTTAAGATTATGCACTTTTAATGTAAGAGGCATTAGGAGTCACTCGAAGAGAAGATCTATATTTTTATATGTAAAACGTTTTAAGAATGATGTTGTATTCCTTCAAGAAACGCATTCAAGTGTAGATGATAGTAAGAGATGGGAAAATGAATGGGGGTTAGGGAAGTGTATATTTTCTCATGGCAGACTTCGAAATGAACGGGGAGTAGCTATTTTATTGGGAAATAACCGTATAAAACAGTTGAGTGACACTGAAGGAAGATACATCATCATTCAAATACAAAGTGAGGGTAAAAACTACACGTTATGCAATATATATGCTCCAAATGATGAAAATGTTATGAAAGAGTTTTTCGACCATGTATCAGCAATTATAACAACAGAATTTTCACACGAAAATCTGATTCTAGGGGGAGATTTTAATGTTACTATGGATAATAGATTAGACAGATATTCAAAAAATGTTGAACATATTCAAAATAATGATGCATCTCGTGGGGCGCTGCTGGATTTAGTTAAAGAGCGAGGGAAAGTATCGCAACAGATTTTTGACAGTAAATAATTGTTTTCTAGTAGTTTCTGGCTGTACAAAAATGAATGCATATGAAAGGCCAATGTATAATCTTTAAGAAAAATTCAAAGAATGGTTTCAAGATCAATTGGATTATCTCATAAGCCATGTTTAATCCACCCATCAACAAGCTTTTTTCAAAATACAATCGTCATTTTCACCATCGTCCCTCATTTTTTTTTACAATTTTCATGCAAAGTTACATTGTACTTGAACACATGTTTCATCACTTAAAATATATAAGGAACTCCTCGTGGATTAGGATTATGATAATCCAATATAAGGGGATCCAATGGGGATCTAAAAGCTATGCTTTTAGTACAGCACACTCATATAAGATGTCATTAGTGTGCCATAAAGTTAGTTCAAAATGTTTTCATAAATGAATGGTTGGACTTGTTTGATCCCCTGCTGTTTGATCCCCTGTTTAATCAATGGAGCATAACCGCAGCATTTCCCCAAAATTCTGAATACCTGTCAAGTTGACTGTTTAATGTTTGAGTGCAGTTAAACCTGTGTGTGTGTGTGTGTAAGTTGCTTTGTTTGTTTGTTTATATCCATCTGTACT